AGTCAATATGCTTAGCTTGATAGATCGGATGACCATAATAATATATATTGGTGAAATAATAAGTTAGTTAATGAAATTCATGTCTTGATGTAGAGATAGATAATATGTCATTTGAGAAGCTTATAAGCTTTCATTGTATCAAACATTGCAAGTGGATTTTGAATCCGAAACAAAAAATAAGCTAAGGAGTGTTATAAAAGAAATTAATCATTGAATTAAATTCGTGAGATGATTTAATTTATTGATTTGTATATGTAACCTTAACATGGGAATTACATAAGTGTTTAATGGGAAATTTTGAAATATAATTGAAGGAGTGCAATTACGTATTTATAATTTTTTATGGTAATTAAGAATAATTCAAATTAATTATTTGAAATTATTTCCATAATAAGTTCCATTAATTAATTTTGTGTCCATGTAGTGCCCATATTTAACATAAAATCGAAATTCTATTTCTAGGGGAAAAGGAAAAAAATAGCGTATATTTTCAAATAACGTGTTTTTTCGCTTATTCTTTTCGTACTGGGAAGAAATTTCAATAAATAGGGGTGTTGGGCTATGACCCATGTTCCAACCAAGGCCATTGCCTAATCCTATTTGGAATTATTTTTTCCAATTCTTTTGGGAAAAGGATTGAAGTTGTAGTTCTATTTGGAGTTGGTTTTGACTTTATAAGGAAAAACACAACTCTATAAATATGATGATTTTGAGAGAATTATTCAATTGTTCATTGGTATTGTCTTTGAAAGACACTAGAACATAAGAGGTTTTCTGAGAGAATTTTCAACGAGAAAGAAGAAAGAAGAAAATCATATTTTTTTTGCTGCAGTCTTTTTTTCCAATCAACAACCTTCAGATCTTGGTGTTTGATTTGAACGGTGGAGATCGAATTCAAAGGTCAGTAGTATCCTGTTTTAGGTCCCGAACAACAGCTGAGTTTGAGTGATTTTTCTTTCTATTTATCTTTTGTTGGTGTAGCTATTGTTTGCTCTCTTTCGGCAATTGTTGTTGAGTAGCCATTAGGAGAATATTAATAATACTCATATTGTTATAGTGAAGCAATTCGGATCTTGATGATGCCACGGATGTTACCTTCGATTTGAAGAATTTTTTCACGTTAAATTTGGTGTTCTTTATTTTTAGGTTTCCATTTTTATCTTTTTGTCACAACAAGAGGTTCTTCTAATCTAGAAAGAGAATAAGTTTTATATTTGATACTTGTCCACCCAAGTATTAAGAGAGTTCAAATATGAACTTGGGATCATCGTAGAAGATCATAGAACCGTTGTCTAATTTGTGTATGGAATTGTTGTCTAACTCGTGGATTTGTTTGATGGTCTGTCTAACTTGTGGATTCGCTTAGAGATATCTACTCACGCTTCAAAAGGTAATTTTTGAATTAAATTTCAAAAAAATTACAATATGTGTTCTAGGATGATTGTATGTGTTCTAGCATAAACGTAAAAGTTATCTATTATTCTATGTAAGCAGTATAATTCTGATATGCCGTTGTGCATATAGTTTTCCAACAAAGACAGGTTGACTTAGAGAATATCTTATATATTACCCAAATGTTTTTATCTATATTTATTTTATTTTTATATTGATAATAAAAGAAAAGTCCACCCATCTATATATATATAATAAAGGAGAAACATAGGCAAGGTGCTGTGACACCTCTCTATGACCTATTTATCTTTTTTCTCCCTTTTTTGACATTTTTTCTGATTTAAATTAATTATTATATTGTTAAAGTAAATTACTTAATTTATTACAAATAAATATATTATTGATGGAGGAACATTTACAATAAAAACTTTTCACATTCTTTTTTAATTTGTTTGCCTCACTTCTAACCATAAAATGAAAATATTATTTTATATCTTAAGTATTTTTCTTTTTATTATTTAATTTATTCATTAGAATTTATTATCCATGTCTTATACACCTCTTTAATTTATACTTTTAATAATATTCATAACTCCCATAATTTTTATGTCTATAACCTCCAAACTTAAATTTGCAAGTTTATAATGTCTTATGGTATTCCTTTATTTTTGCTTATAAATTCATATTTAATTTCATGAAGATTCACATTCAAGATTATCCTTTCTCTTCTTTATCACATTGGTTTGTGAATGAATTAATATGTAACAAAAAGGAAGCACATGAAGGTCAGAAATATTTTATTTCATTCTCAAGTATTTATGTTTTCATTTCCTCTATTTTGTCTATATAAATTCAGATTTTGTTTCATTCACATTCAAGATTATCATTTCTCTTCTTCGTCATATTTTATTTTATTGTAAATTAACTAACATGTAACAAAAAAGAAGTACATTTCGTATGATATATTTCATTCTCAAGTCTTTCTTTTTATTTTTATTTACTTGGACATGCTTTCTTAATATTTTATTTATGTAAGTATTATCATTCACTAACCAAGTATGATAAAAAAAAAAAAAAACCTTAATAATAATGAATGGTAGTATGCAATTGTTCTTTCTAATAGTCATTTTTGGGATATAATATAATTTGATTATAATATTTGTTAGACAAGAGATGAATATTATTTAGTATTGTTAGTACTATTGAAAAAATAATATATAGATATATTACATATAGTTTAAATTTCTTCTTTCTTTTAATATAATTATTTTTTAATTGGTATATGATATTTTAGTTATTCATATAACTTTTTTTATTCAATTGATAGTATATGATGAAGAATTTGACATGTGGAGCAAAATATGATGACGAATCTACTTACAAAGGAAGATGGTAGAAGAGGGGAAAAACACATATTTAGAGATTATTTTTGCTATTTTTTTTATTACTTTGACTTGTATTAGTTACTTAGTTACTTTTGCAAAAAAGAATTAAAATTACATTTGTATAAATAATTTAGCTACATGTATTGTCAATGCTTATCATTTGGTCCTTTAGTATTCTACTTTTTTTTTATGAAGCACAATTAATATAATTATCCCATTTCAACAACAATTTTTTTTTATGATGATTAGGAGTTTCATTTTTATTATACTTGCAAAAAGTAATTGATAAAATATTAATTTCATGATGCCATTTTTTTCGTATGTAACAATCTATTTTCGTCGCTATTCTTTTTCGTTTGAAATGTATTTATAATATTTATGCAGTCACCGATTATTATATTTTTTTGTATTTTCATTTATTTATTTTACAAAATAAAATCAATGCATAATTACTAATGCATTTAATGTCTAATAAAATTGTACATTTAAATTATTTATAACTCATGTCTCTTCATCTTACTTGTAACTTCTAATCTTAAATATTATTAATAACTTTTGTATGTTTCATTTTTCAAAATTCTTATAAATATTTAATTGTGTTTACAAAATTATAATAAACAAATGTAATAATAAAGACACAAAAAGAAATCAATTTATTTTTTACAAAATTAGAATTTGTATAGAAAATTAGTACTCCTACAAAAGATAGAGGAAATTAAAACATACAAAATATTTTCAACATAATAAAATATATTGTTATTTTAAAATATTGCCTCTTATTCCATTTACTTCACCACGATGAATATTTTGTTCTACTATGTACATATGAATAGTTTGCACTTAAAAAGATGAAAAAAGAAATTATATTTTATATGTTTAAAAAATGATGAAAAAACGCATCATATAGCAGATGAAGAGAAATATCAATATTATCTTAAATATCCGACACAAATATAAATATAAATTTTACATATTGTTATCTTATAAATATTCCATATAGCCGCGCTTTCACTAGTACAAGATAAGACGGAACCAAAGGAAAGCAAGAGTAAGATTATTAATAAGAAGTAATCTATTTACTCAAAAAATGAAGTTTTACTTGAACCATGTTACTCTTGGTAAATCGAAAAAAATATGAAGTTTCTTGGTTTAGTAATATATATACTGTCTTAATTACGATTATCTTGAATAATTGTGTTTTTGCATATGCTATATCTTTATTTATTTATTTTTTTACCAAATAGTTAGTGAATAGCTTCACTCTAATTTAAGTATGTTTCTATGCTTTTTGACAAACGAAAACATATAAAAAAAATTTGAACATAATTTAATCTTATCCTAGATCGATATCGATCATGTGATTTAACTTTTCTCTATTAGCATTTAGATGTACACTATATGTGTAACAACTAAAAAATTAATCAACATCATACTTTCTCAGTATCTGATTTTGATATAAGTAGAAGATAAGCATAACCGCATTAACGAAAAATAAAAGATAAGTAAACAAGAAACTAATGAATTAGTAATCTTTTGGGTTTACCTTTTATCATTTTTGTTAGTACTAATTTTCATTCCTATGTTATATCAGCGAAAAAAATAATTTAAAAATCTCAAATATCTTAATAATTCACCCCTAAATAAAATTAACTATGATGTTTCGTCGTTTAATTATAAATTTTATTCGTCGCTTATTTCTGTTTTTTAATAACTAATTACATTTACGCCTATTATATTTTCTGTAGTCTTTTAAATAACCTGCTAAAATACCACTTACCAAAAAATGTAAAAATTAATTTTTAATGCTTGGGACTCGAGTTATTTTACCTTAGCTAAAGAATAAGATACCAAAATAATCTCACCCACAAATTATGGAACTACCAATTCTAGAAGACTAGAACTTAGCCAAACGGCGTCGTGGCTTTTTTCCTGCCTTAGGTAATGATTATCCTCGTAAATTTTTCATCCATAACTTCTAATCTTTCGTTTCATTTTATGTGATATATTTTACTTTTTAATTTATATCAAAAATATATATTTTATTATAATTTAAAATAATTTAATTTTAAAACAAACGATGTCACGTAAAAAGAAATAGTATATTAATTTTTCGTTTTATAATACTCAAGAGATAGAGTGTATGCGAAAATTTGGGTTGAATTGAGGGGCAATTACGGAACAAAAAATAGTATATATATAGGCATTGAGTGCAAAACGTTTGGTTTCTCAGTCGAAAAAAGATCCGAGCGAAGCAGAGCAGAAGTTTCCGTTATCCGTTTCTCTTTCACTCACCATTGGTTTTCTCTCTCCATATCTAAATCACCCAATTGCTTTCTCTCTCTAAATTCTTGAGATATTCATCTCATCAATTTTAGGGTTTTTGATCCAATTTCACTCAGCAACAATGGTTTCCGATTCAATCCCCAAAGTTTCGATCTCTATTGCTTCCTCTAACCCCAAAGATTTTGCCAAGAAAAAAAGGGTAAATTTTGTCGCATATTAGTTTGTGTTTTCAATTGCTTTTTTTGATACTGTATTGGTAGTTTTCTTTACGATTGAGTTGTATTTCTGAGATTTGTTCTACGAATTCAGGCTAATCGGTCGGCGAAGTTGAAGCAGTCCAAGCTTGATGCTCGACGCGAGCAGTACCTTTCACAAGGTAGCATAAGATCTCCTTCTTCTTCTTTTTTTCAGTTTCTCAATGATTTTGCATGTATATGTAATCTGCCTTTTCGTGAAATTTCTTCCCCTTTTCAATTTTGTTCTTGCTTTAATTGCATGATTGCATCTCTGAGTATATGTGATTATTAAATTGAATTTCTTATGTCTATATTTCTTAAATCTTGGCGATTGGGGTTTTGTATAGTGAAGAACAAAGGTTTGAAGGAGGAACCAAACACTGGAGGAACTCATGGTTCAGCGAAGAATGTTGCGAATGAGAGGGAACGATTGATTGAGAAGTTGCAGATAAAGCCAATAGGTGAAGAGGACAATGAAGGGTCCTTAAACCACTACAGTGATTTTGATTCACCTACAAGCCACACCAGTAGTGTTTTGGGAGGAAATGATTCAGGGACTAATTTCACAGGAAGCAGTAGGGGCAGTAGTAGCAGCAGTAGCAGTGGTGGATGTTGTTCAGGGAGTGTGAGCGAGGAAGATGAAGAAGCAGAGGATGATTGCTTGGATGATTGGGAGGCTGTTGCCGATGCTCTGGCTGCCACTGATAAAAAACAGGAGCAGCAAAATCCCAGCTTGGATTCACATTTTGAGAGGAATGAGAATATGGCACATATGAGTTCTAGGCAAGAGGTTTCTGAAAGGCAGGGTTCAGGGATTGATAGATCAAAGGAGGAGTGTAATGACAGAGGATTGACACCTAGACCTCCTCTCAGTTGCCGGGCATGGAGGCCCGATGATACATTCCGTCCGTCGGGTCTGCCAAATTTGTCGAAGCAGCATAGTTTCCCAATGAATTCTGAGCGGCATTGTAGGAGGGACTCTGTATGGGGATGTAAAACTTTAGCCACACCCACGTTGTGTCCTATATGCTGTGAAGATTTGGATTATACAGACACGAGTTTTCTCCCTTGTTCGTGCGGATTCAGGCTTTGCCTCTTTTGTCACAAGAAGATTCTCGAGGAAGATGGGCGTTGTCCAGGGTGCAGGAAACAGTATAACCAGGAGGCAGTTGAGCGAGAGGCAACCATTGATGGAGGCAGACTGACGATTCGATTGGCTCGTTCCTGTAGCATGATATCAAGGTCCTAGGAAGATTCTGTTTCCATGGATGTGTATGTTGGGTCCTTTTCTGTCTCTGCATGACATTGTGAGTGTTTTAATTCTTAGCAGACTGTGAGTCAAGATAACCAACCCATAGCTATAGATGTTGGTATAGAATGTGATTTTGGAAGCTCAGGGGAATGTTCTGGTTTCTTTATGATCTTTTGCATTATAGATGTGGGCTTGTGCTGATGTAGAACACTCATTATGTGAATAAATAAGGTGGTATTGAAGTTAAATATATTGTGCTTGTAATTCTATCACCCTTCTATTTGATTATTATTAATATGTGTAAATAATGAAGTAGCAATTTGAAATTACCAAGGTTCTTAAGAAATGCTTAAACTTTTGGCAGATAAAGAATGAGAAAGTATTCTGCTACTAGTATTCCAAGCCTTCCCTTTCCCTGTGCTCTAGTATAAATGCTTGAACTTTTGAGAATAACAAATATATATAATTGTTTACCATCAATTAAATAACAAAAGTGGATAGATATATTTACCATTTCATAAGGAATCATTCTTAGCAAAAATCCGATGTGTTGCATTTATAAATAATTAAGAAAAGCATAGTAAATAAATTGGGAGAAATACTGAGAGAGGTTATAGGCTTCTTTGGATGGTTATTTGTCATGACAACTATCTATTAAAACGCCAATCTTGAACTAAGGGTTGTTGGGAGAAAAGTATTTTCAGTTTTTGTTCTTTTCTTTTCGTTTTTGCTCTCTTTATTTCGGAACTTGCTTTCTCTAAAGCAGTTGAAACCCTTAGTTTCAGACTTTTATGTCACGTCCTTAGTCTTTTACTAAGCACACGTGCGACACTTGATAATTTGCTCATGTTCTTGCTAATCAGCCTAAGAGTCTAGGAATCGCTAAGAGAATAGAAGAAACTATGCCAAATCAGCCTAAGATTCTAGGAATCGCTAAGAGAATAGAAGAAAGAACACAAGAAGATTGTTAGGAAGAATTGTGTAGAGAATTTTGATTGATTTTTGCTTGATGATTTTACAAATGGATGCCCCTCTATGTATACTACTAACTTGGGAGCTAATATATAAATAATAATTATTAAATGAGTCCTTACATATATAAAAATAACTCCCTTTTCTGGCTTTCTAGAATCTACACAACTAGAATATTCCAAGGACCTTCCATGTAAATCCATGGGATTCTCAAGTCTTTCAAGGGATTTCTCCACATATCTCTTGAACCTTCCCCTAAGAACTAACCTTCTTCCCGTGTAAGCCCTCCACATGGGCAACTTTTTGTCATGTGGCACTTACAACTTATGTGGCATGATGACGTGACGGGTCGTCACATTTAACTGTATACCTCTCTTCTTTTATTCCTTTATCAAATATTTTTAGTACTTTCTGAATATTGTTAACATTTGTATTATTTTTTTTGATGAAATTAAGATTTGTAATTGTATCCCAGTATGGTACACATTTCAATGGAGAGGAAATGACTTTTTTTATTTTTTATATCTTGAGTGTTGGTGATACATTGTACAGTTAAGGAGAATGTTGTTGGGATTTACTGAAATATTGCAAATCCTTCTCTTTAGATTTATTTAAGCAACATAGTTAATTTTTTGGGTCAATGGAGCAGTCCTGGATGGATGTGAAACTTTCTGGAGTCAACAGCGATAATTAGGCTTTCAAATGTGTATCTGTAGATTTCTGACGTAGACTGTCTGTATCTCTATATTGCTTCTCATTTTTATTTGTCTATGAACTTTGAATCAGGTCTAAATGCCCTTTAATGTAATTAACCACATAACAAGCAGCATGTCTTATATCTCTTATTATTTTGCTTCCAAAAATTGCCTATGATGCTAGTATGAAGCTATTAGTAATCATCAGAGTGGCGTTCAACATCATCTAATGAGATGTTTGAAATGCTTGGCATCTATACATGTGCCAAAAAAACTAAAACCACCTTTCCCACTGCTATAAAGGAACAGGAGAGCGTTTTGAAGCAGCAGAAAACTCCTAGTACAAATTAGAGGAATGTTGTGTGTATTTTGGAGCTATATTGTATTAGAAATTCTTTTCACCCCTCCTATCCAGTGAATATGAATAAATGATGAGAAACAAACTGGCATTTGCTAACAAGGCTCTTGAGCAGGTCTGTTGCCTTCAGTAGTCTTCTTTTCACCTAATTTATAGTGACATCCAAATTTATCCTTGGCATATTTTGGGGCTTTTTGTTTAGTAACTATAGGTTGATAATCTTTTGTCTGAATCGTGTTAGTTTAGGTTCTCTTGGGAAATCCTAGACTTCTTTTGTGCTTTTGGGAGAAATCTTGTAAGTTGAGGTTCATTAAGTGGAGTGGTCTTACTTATTCATAGATTATTTTAAATGTGTTCAGTTCTAATGTTGCTAACCTCTTCATCTTCCTCATCTGGTGTCCATTTGGCTGTCTGACGGCTCTATAATGATATTGCACATTCAATTTTTACAAGGGTTGTGGGCTTCCAGAGCATTATGTTTCTTTCCCATCTGCTTCTAAACATAGCCATTACAAGTCAAGTAGAGGGGTTCTAATGATTGTTTCAATGGGTGCTGTTCTCGCCATAAGATCATGTAAGGATTGGGTAAAGCTAAATGACACCTTCTGATGACGTATTTTTGGTCAAATTTGGCTTTCTTGTTATGTGAGATTGTAGGAAAGAAGATTCAAAGTAATAAAGTCAATCTTGTCAAGTCAACCTTTCTATATATTAACAAAGATTCATTTGACATCTTCGTCTGGAAAACGAAGATTCATTTAATAAGTCAAGCCTATAGCTAAACTTTATTTAGTTTCCTTGGATAGACATAGGATGAAAAGATTAATGCTACTTCAAACATCTTTCCAAGGATTTCAAAATGCTTAATGCGGCTGGATTTCATTGAACTTTCTTGATCTGCACCGATTTGTATTTTCTGAGTCACAATCTAATTTATTTGACTTTGTGCTCATTGGTTGCTTGTGAGGAGTGTTTTGAGTGTGTAGTTATTGTGTCCATTGGCAGCACGTCCTTAAGGCTGGAGTCATTCTCAGAGGTAGTCAGAGGTATGAGTTATAACTAAAGTTGCATCAAATATTCTGTCTTGTAAACTGGAGGATCTTCTTTCTGGTATTAACAGTGTATTCTCTCCTAGAAGGCAGTCTAACCTCCCGTCCAACTTTTTGTTTATCCATGTCTTAGATGAAAAATTATCAAAGAAATATATGTTTGATCTTATCCTCATTTAGGACTACTTTTTCCAAAATTTTTTTTACTCATTCATGAGAGGAAAATGGAGATGTAACAACTACTACCTATTTAGCTTAGAGTGGTGTTTTTTTACAAGGAGAACGACAGGAAGCTTATCAATAATGGATCTCATCAATCAATCAACTGCATCTTAATACCAAAATAATTGGGTCGGTTATATGAATTACTCTATCCATTCCTCTGTTGGGCTTATTTCATTTCATACTAAAATAATGTCTCTCAAGACGAACTAGAGGTATTAAATCTTGAGTTTCTCTACTCTTATACTTATCCTTAAATATACAGCTTATGGCAAGTCTCCATCAGCACCAGATTTGATGCAAGTATGACAACATCACAACTAGTCTTATTTCAACTAGTTGATTTTGCTTATATATGGCATTTGCTTTCTTTGTGTTCTGCTGTTAGTTAAGTTTGCATAGTTTTATTACTTATAAGAGATTGGAGATACCTTGAGACTTCCCTTTGAGTAAGTTTTGTTCTACCTCATTTCCTTTTATTACATTCATTTCTAATGCGTGTGGAGGTTTACAAGGGCTCAGTCAAACCACGTTACCCTCTGCCATTCATCTTAGCATTCACATTTTTACCTATAGTTGTTTACTCCCATAGTTGGTCTCACAACTGTTCAGCCTGTCATTTATCTCATATTGTATTTTCTTATTGCTTAGCATCTTTTTAACACTTCCGATTTAGCCATGCTATTTTTATTCAATGTGTTACATCTTTATTTATCATTACATTTTATGCAAAATTGTGTCTAGATGTCTGAATACATCTCATAGGTTTAAAGATTCTTTAAGTGTAACAGATCCAAGTAATTGCCAAATCTAGCCCCAAAAGAATAAATTTCCAGTTGATTTCTTAATATTTGCCTTTAGACTTGCTATAACAAGCTTCTTGTGTTTTTCATCTTCCATAAACCATTTTCTCTCCATCTATGAAATTTTTTAAAGTTTTTTAACTTCTTTTTTTTTGTGTAAGTGATATTGGTTTGGGAGAACCTTAAATGGAACAACATGGTCCGTGAGGATTTATATTGCCGAACCCAACTTGATTGGAATTGAGGCATAGTAGTTGTTTTTATGAACAACTTTCTGCCAGATATAAGTCATTCTAGTTTACCTTTTTTGGACATGCTATCAGAAACTTTTTATATTTTTTCTTTGGAAAAAATAATCACTCTATAAATCAGTTTCTCCGTGTCATTCTTGATCTGGTAACTTGCAGTGGAGATTCATTCTGAACATCGTAGAAGTTATTGTGATTAAAAGGATCATCCATGGATCTGCCCTAAAGGAAAACTGTGTTTCTTTTTTGAATCTGTACTCTTTTCCTCTATGCCGTATCACATCTCTGGTTGCGTTATAAGTCTGTTAACTGCCTCACCATGTGGATATTCCTTGAGAACTGTCTACTTATTCTGCCAGTGCAGACTTGTGGAGCTATACTTGTAAATAATGATTGATATTTTATGGATTACGAATTTACGATTGCTACTTCTATCCTTCTGCCAGGATAACTGTCATCTGTACCTACATTTTTCAACCGGAACAAAGATTTAAGAGAGTGCAGTACATAGTATTCAAGGTCTAACAGTACAAATCAGATTCATTTTCTTTGAAATTTTTTGTGTTAATAGAGTAGTTGATGGACTAAGCATTCTTCTGCCATTTCTAGAGATCCAAAAGTCGGCTGGACTATTTATGTCCCCAACCCCCAAACTTTGTTAGCTAGACTGCTTTTTGTTGTTAACCTAATGGACTGTAATTTCTTGATAACTGGCAGGTGAGTTTATTTTAGATGCGTCTTCTCATCACATGCTGTGTTGTTATTCTGCTTATATCTTTCTCTCAACTTCAGAGAAGAAAAACAGACCAGAGAAAGGTCTTCTATTGAGTTGTGAAATGTTCAAAGGCTGCAACTAATTGCAGACTCACTATGGGAGTCAACAAATTTGTCTTAACTTCGTTCTTGTGCAGCACTGAACACTGCATCTTTTTAACTCCCTCCCTCCTGTTTGAGCTCAATCAACTGGCCCAAATAAAGAGACTTGTTGTCAATTTGGTGTTTCTCGTTGAGCTCAGAAACTGGAAGTAGCAGTCATCAGTTGAGTAGCCCCTTACCTTTCCGGTCAAGGTTTGATGAATTTGATCACTTTGTATTCCCGATTTCACTCCGAGTGTGAGGTTGATTCGGTTATCATATTGTCACGACTGTATAACTGATTTCACTGCAAGTATGAGGGTATAATTTTCATCATATTACTGTCTTTGTTCTTGAAACGATATACTCTCAGGGGTTGTTTTATTCACAGACTAGTTATTCAAATACCGGAATGTTGTGTGATGAATGATACAAGGAATGCTGTGAAGAGATTGCAGTAGCAAAATCAAGAATTAACTTGTGGTAGTATTGTGAATACATGTATTTTTATTCTATGTTGTGTTCTTGTATAGAATGTCTACAAGTTATCCGTAGATATGTATAAACTATTAATGCCAAGGGCAATGTGATCTCAAAGCATCTAGAAAATCTGTGAACCTTTCTTCCTTCGTACCTCATCATCCTAGTTGGCAATTTCTGTTTTCTAGTTCGTGAACAGAGTTTCTAGTTGAGAGCTGACTCTTGACCTTTAAGCTGTAGCATAAGTTATGTTTCTTTTAAGGTTTTCCATAGTTCACCAAATATCTAAACAATTTTTATTCGAAGCTTTTCATCTACTCTCGACTAACTTGTATGTTGCTGCGATCTTATGCTAGTTTATCTTCAGTTTCTAGTGTTACATTCCAGGGATTGAATGGGAGATTATTATTGCAACATTTAGATGTCTGTTCTCTTGCTGTTGCTATTTGAAAGAGGACATGTTTTGTGTGACTTTTTTTACTGCTTTTGGTTTGTTCAGGAATTTATGCAAATCCTCTGGCAGATGTGTAAAGCTTGGAAGGACAGAAATCTGTGTAATATACTCATTATTCTGAATTCTTGATTTCCTGATTGAATGGTTGCATATGCAGAGACCCCTTACTCCATCCGTTTCAATTTATTGTATTTGTCTTCTTTTTTTTTAGGCCGTTTTAAAAAAGAATGCCTCTTTCCTGTTTTGGTAACTCTTTTATTTTGAACTTTCCCTTTGAGGCCATGACATGTTGAAGACCACAAGATTATAGGATATTTAGGTGCATTCTACACTTACTTTAGTTTAAGATCACAAGATTTAAAATTTTCGTTTCTTAAACTCCATGTTAAGTCAAAACCAAGCAAACAAATTGAAACGGAAGGAGTATATACTAGCATCTGTATGTATTTTATGGTGAGTGTTTTCGTTGACATCTATATCTTTGTTGGCATTCTGGTTTTTTGGATGATTTCATATTTTTGTTTTCCTGTTCTGTATCTGAAGTATATACATAGTGTTAGAATAGAATAGGTAAACACAATCCTACACAAAATAGGAATAGTTTATAGTCTCCTATTTGGTAAGGAATTGTATTATATAGTTTCTATAAAATAGGGTTCTCTATGTAATAATTAGAACAACAATTCAATAATATTTTTTTCCATATATTTCTCACACATAGTATTGGCAAAGCGCCATAATTTGTATTAAAATTCCTAATGTCAAGGGGTATTTGTGAAAGGTCGGGGAGTAATACCAGAAATGTGAACTTGCAAAACTTATTACTAGCGTCTTTACCATCAAGATGTTAGTCTCATGAGACTTTAAACAATTAATAATCATTTCTGGGTGTCATTCTCATATGATATTTTGACCATGTCTAATCATTTCGGAATATTAGGGGTCTGTCTCAACGAAAGGCAAGTGCAGAATTCCAATAAAATATTTGATATGATAAACAAAAAGTGACATGTAAATTGAAATATGTGGAAGTATGTTTTCCCTTCTTTAAAATGGCATTTGTTTTGAAAATTAGGCTAAACTCCTTTTTTTTGTAATTTTAGTAAAAGAAATTGAAAAAAATCCCTAATGATGTTTGGTTGAAGAAAATCATTGCAAAAAGCACTTTTAAACAAGCTGGGATTGGTCGTCAGCCACCAGCTTCGAGTGTGCTGGACGATATGTAGGATATGCATACTTTGATGTTTTTGTCTCGTATTCCTATTTTTAAGTTTTATTTGTTTTTTCTAGATTTTGCTGGAGATCCGGTTGTGCCTGGGATGGGTTAGTTAACAAGTAAGAAGGGATAGAAGGAACTAAAAAGTTACTGGAAGTGACTAATGAGATTACAGTAATTGAAGGATCTGCAGTATGCCTCCTTCAGTTTGAGTATCCATAGGGACCTTTAAGAAACATTCACTCTTCATACGACTTCTGGGGTGTGTTTGGTATGGAGGAAAATGTATTCTGGAAAATAAGTGGGTTATTTACCTTCATTAGGGAAGTTATTTTTGAGAAATTATTTGACCAACCAAACATGGGAAAATTGGAAAAACTTCTCTAGATAATGTTTTCCTTCATACCAAACACACCCTTGATGAAGTCTGAAATTCTAGTCTTCTTCAGTGTCCCTGAAGCTCTAGAGTCACTCCTCAAGTTGAGAAGAATCATTGTAGAGAACATTGCTCTTTACCTGATCCTAGTGCCTGAACAACATATGGTATAAAGTGCCTCTACCTGCCTGAAGTAAGATGGGAAGGAGCAGGTAGACCGGTATATTAATGTGATATTCCAAATATGAATAAATGGCAAGTTTAGCAGTAATAAATTTGGACAAACTACTATTCTAAAAGTGAAGTAATATGAGTAATGAAGTTCCATCAGAAATCATTCTCAGATTCACTACTTACTATTTCTGGTGTAAAGTATGTTCTCAAGTTATGGAACCTCACAGGAGTTATTGGTCTTGGTGATCGGGGTGGTGATGACTCTACAGTTGCTGCACTCTTCTTCTGTACTTTCTTTGTGATATCAACACACACCTTGTCAACCATGTCGAGAAAGTCTTTCACAAATGCAAACAACTGAAGTGACTCTGTGCCTTTTTCCTTCGAAGTTCCTGCTTGGTAATACTCTGTCGTTCTCTTGACAAGTTCCATGACTCTTGTTTGTTCTTCTCTGATCACCTTGAGTTCCTCTTCACATTCCTCTAGAAAACCTTTAGTCTCTTTTACAAATTGATCCTTTTCAGCAATTCCACAACACGTTATGAGCTGCTGAACGTCATTTACCCGTGTTGTAAGAGTGGAACATGTATTGATGAAACTATCGCAGTCTATGGTAGCTGCTTTCTTTACATTAGAGAATTCGGAACTTAACCCTTGCAATACTGGTAAACCTAGTGTTAGGTGCTCAGTATCTTTCTCTACTTTTTCCGTTTTTCTATCGGAATCATCCTTGTGACCTTTATTGATAAGGCAACGTTTACCTTCAGAACAGATGACTTGTTCGACTACAAAATGAAGCAGAGTAGTCTTTCCATCATTGCTTTTCACATATGATAGTTTTTGTAAAGCACTAAGGTTGAATCCCTGAGCATTTCCTCTAGCCGTTCCTGCATTCATCCGATTGCCAGCCTTAAGAATCGCTTCCAGAAGTCTTATGAAAATTCTACTTGTTCTCAATTCCTTACAACCCAGCTCAATTGTTTGCAGATTCTCCTTGAGGTTAAGAATTTCTGGATCATAGTTTGATCTGAAAAGCATCGCGTTGAAACGTTTAAATGCAGAAGGAACAGCTTTCAGCATTTGGTAGAGGAAAGACTCCGCGTCAGCAAGTTTTCTTGTGTTACCATCAAATTGAAGGATTTTTGACGTTTCTTCTTCAGTTGGGCGAATCTTGGTTAGTTTTTCTAGAGTGTCAACACTGAGTCCTTGGCCCTCCGTCAGGGCATCAAGAATTTCTTTGCGAGAGACAGAAAGAGACTTTAGCACAATTGCTGTGTTCTGTGACTTCCTAGGATCGAGGATAAACATTTGAGTTGGTCGAGCCAACTTAGAAGTGCCTGAACTTGTTGTCGCCCTATTTCCTTCAGGGGTTCTATTGGAAGTGACATTGTATCCAAAAAGAACTTCCATCAGGTCATCTTCAAATCTGAAATGTGCATTCAAATGCAATTTATTAGTTGGACTCAAAATAGGCACTAACTGCACTAAAGGGACACAATTTTACATGCCAAGGTGCACTTACCGGAAAGATCCATTGTTAATTTCATCCCAGACCATAGAATGATCAGCATTAGCAACGACTTTATCCCAGTGCAGTGGCCTCAATTTGACTTGAGTTTCACCGTTTTCGTTTGACTTCTCTTCGTTTTGAGCTTCTGCTTTATCTTTCCTGCTCCCTTTCCCTCTTGGTGCAATAGGTGGTTTTATCAATGAACTTAAACCACCACCCTTTGGTGGGGGTGGTGGAGACGATTTTATCTTTCCTGCATTAGGTGGTGTTGGTGCTTTGGCAATCCTCTTCATTGGAAGGGGAGGCGGAGGAGGTGGTGGTGCTGGTGGAGGTATTGGTGGCTGAGGCGGAGGAGGTGGTGGAGCTGGTGGAGGTATCGGTGGCTGAGGCGGATTTTGACTCGAGACAAGTGCTAGTTGAGACGGTGTTTCTGGCTGAGGCGGAATGATTTCCTTTTGTTGAAACTGTAATGAGGTTGATGGCTGTTTTGAAGATCTGCTTGCTGCAAAGAGTGAGTTAGTTGTTTGCTGTGATGCAGTAACTGCCTCTTTATTCTCATAGCTACCTACATTGCTACAATTTTGCAGTAAAGGCATTTCTTGAATGTGATCACTTGAAACTGATTGCTCTTGTCCGCTATCAATTCTCTTCTCTTCCTCCTCATCCTCATCCTCATCCATACGATTCACCCAAATCTTAGAAAAACAACTTCCTAGTTGGCTACCATCGAATCTTCTCAAATATATAACATCAAGCCCGTTTTCATCAACTATCAACCCTTTTAAAGCCCCAGTTTGCTGGAATTCTTGATGAGGCACTTCTCTATGAAAACTTGAACTCAACTTGTTTTTCTTCCATCGACGAATTACATAATATCTGTAGAAGAAATAAAATAGTATGCCAGCAACCACCAAAGTAGATAGAACTGCAGCTATAACAGCCTTCAGAACTACCTGATTCTGAGATGAATTTGTTGGAGGTGGCCCCGGTGTATTCATTACAGCCAAAAAGTGAGTAGATAAAACTAATCAGTGAAAGAACTGGTATACATATGATCAATCAAGCTGCTGTTGACAGAGGAAAGAAGTAGACCATTGTCTGATCAAAGTGAAGGAAAGAGTTTCTTCTTGTTTATATTTTACAATGACATATTCATTTTGTTATCATCTTTGGCTGCTTGACAGTTTCAAAGTAGGTTGTTGCTGTTAGTTGGCTGTCTTTAAACCTTGCAAGTCCTTTGGTAGAAATGACTTTATTGTTTTTGTCTAGCTGCAGAGGTGTTAAATGGGAGATCAAAATGGGACGAATAATTGACATGCTCAAAGGTTACTAGGGCTGCTGAAATGATATGGGTCAAAATGGGCGAGTAATTGATTCATCCAAAGCTGAAATGGGTTGAGTTATATATCAACCTAACTTTTATATGAATTGAATTTGTTATAAATGAGCGAGTCATTAACCCTCCAACGCCAAATTCAGGCGGATTGAACAAGTCTAAAAATCAAGAAAGCTAGCCTTGGGGGTTTAGTGGAACTGAGTAAGTTTTGGCAACTTTGAAATTTTTGTATTTTGTGTGTTGTAGTCAGACGGTTGGTATAAGAAAAGTTTTACCTAGTCATATACTCTTTTATTGTAAAAGAGGACATCTGTGTCAATGTGATACTACATTTTCAACAAACAAATAGAAGATTATGATGTTATTCCCTTTTTATAAGGAAAATGTCGTTTTCTTCTTTATTTTATCCAATTAGTTGTCATCATTGTATAATTTTGACATTAATCGGATTTCAAATTGAGATATATTTCGAGAGGGAAAACCAACTTAAAGGTAATTAATTGTCAGCAGGCAAGTGACAACAATGTTTCGAACCCTCTCTTTTTTTTTTGAACTTGTGCCGTTGTAAAGTATTTCTAGAGTTATTTTTGGGCAGTTTAAGTTGTTTTTTTTACATTTTTCTAACTACTCTATGTAGGCGTTTATTAATTTGACATAAAAGTTGGCATGAGGAGGCCATATTTGTAGACACTAATCAATTTCAAAATTTTGGACCACTACCAAAATGACCTAAATATTCCTCCACCATCGTAGATGAAAGAGGAAAGGTACGTTACACTTCATTAAATACTCAATTTATTAGTTTCAAACAGAATACTCTAGTAATCTTCCTGTTCTAATTTTTATGACTTGGGTTTTTTTTTAGTTTAAAAAAATGACATATTTTTATATTCAGTGATAATTAACTTTTAAATACCAATTTTATTCTTAATAAAATGATTTTTTAGCTACATAAATATCTATAACTTAATTTAGACGATAAGTTTTAAATGTTTTTTTAATCTTCTTAAATTTCGTGTCAATTCAAAATGTATCATATATATTTGGACAGAGGAAGTTCCCCATTTTAATTTGTTTGTCCTATTTTCTTTTTAGTCCATTTTTTTTATCGACTATTTATAAATTAGCATGTTTAAGACTACTGAATTAAATGACGTTTTGGTACATTTGACATAAACGATAGACTATATTTTGAAAAAAATTCAAATCAATTTCAAGGATCCATAGTAAACAGACTAAGATTTTCTATTAGAGTTTACAACTTAGCTGTTATAGTTCCAATCTTTTAATGGAAAAGATTTTTAAAAAATGTTTAATATATTGATGATGACTTGCATGTATACTTCTTTTACTTACCTATTAGATTCAAATTGCTCTTAACGTGAATTTTCAGGTTAAAAATACCTTTTTTCATCTATTATATCCCAATTGTTCTTTACGTTTAAAATAATGTTGCTCCACTTAATGAAATTATGAGATGGTTTATGTGGAATTTTAATTAAATATGTGGTGCTGATTTATTGGCTCCTACGGACAGAGAAAAATAATTCTATTGTTTTAGGGGGACTAAACGTAATAATAATTATAGTGTATTATCGAGCAATGTAAGAGTTAATAGTCCATAGGACCACATTTTTCCTTTTTCAAAATTTTAATTAATGTTATTTAAAGCAGTAGGTGTGCAGCTCCGTTGTCCGAACACCACTAAATTTTTAGGGTCGTTTGGTTTGAATACAAGTTATGCTGGGATTAGTTATGTTGGGATAAGTTATACTGTGATAAGTTATGCTGAGATTAATTTTTGTTGCTTGTTTGGTTTGTCATATTCAAACTTATATTCATGGCATAATTTCTAAGAATAAGTTGTTTGTTTACAAAAATACCCTTCATCTTATTTAGTTTTTTACATTTTCTTTGTAAGTTTTAGTTATTCATTCTTAAAAATAAATTTTTCCATCTTATTTAGCTTAAATATTTTTGGGTGTGCATTTACATGATTGTGCCGTGTATTTTTAAAATTAAACTTTCATCTTATTTAACTTTAAAATGAAACTTTCATCTTGTTTAGCTTAAATATAAAATTTCAATCTTATTTAGCTTAAAAATAAATTTCCATCTTAATTAATTTAAAAATAAAACATTCATCTTATTTAGCTTAAAAATAAAACTTCCATTTTAAGTTTATTCAAAGTAAAAGAAATTCTATTATTAAAGTTATCTATATTTTAATTGATATATAAATATAATTTTTAAGTGAGTAATAAACTATCTAATTAAAAATACACAATTTAATAGTGGAGTGAACATTTTGAGAGAAATCAAAATATAAATAGCATTAAGAATTAGGCAAATAATTTCAACTTATATTATATTCATAAATAAAAATTATATTTATAAAATATAATTTTTTAATAGAAAAATATATTATCAAAAGAATAAGAAATAATTAAGGTTGTGAATCTTATTATAAATGTTGTTAAAAACTATGTTAATAAACATGAATATAAAGTGGTGTATAAAAGTGGGGTTTAAGGAGGATATTTTTGTTATTTTACCTACTTAATCCCAGTATAAGTTATCCTGGGATTACTATCCCACCCCCAGGAAGGGATAACTTATCCCAGGACTAATTATTAATCCTGGGATAAGTTATCTCACCCTTGACAACCAAACAATAGATTAATGACCACTTAAAAATTATCTCTGGATTAAATCCTTTTGTCCATCGCACCAAACGACCCCTTATATTCTAATTATTAATTTTCTTCTTCTTTTATTCCCCTATAGGCTATAGCCTATAGTTCATTAATTGTTACCTAAACGACTACAGTTTCCATAGTTAAATATTTGCAAATTTAGCATCGCACTTAAGTAATACAACACAATACTTCCTCGGCAATATAAATATGAATTAATTACATTACGTCAATATAATACTCTCTCTGTCCCTAATTACTTATTCACTTTTTCTTTTATAGTTATCCCTAATTACTAGTCCATTTTGACAAATCAAGAAAGGACAATTTTTTTTTACCTATTATACCCTTAATTAAATGACTAATTATTTTGAAAAATGTAGAACTTTTCATCTACTTCATAATTAATAGGGGTAAAATGGTAAACTCACTACGTCATTAATTATTTTCTTTATAGATGTGTCAATTCAAAAGTGAACAAGTAATTAGGGACAGAGGGAATTTGAGTCAACTTATCAGTTACTCCTTAATAACAACGATGTAACCATGCTAAATTCAACTTAAAATTGTGTTTAAGTTTTCATGTTTAAAACTTCACCTACCAAGAAGTTTCTATCCGACCTTTTTGCCTATTTAAAAAAAAGGCAGTCTTTGAAAATACTTTTTATGAACATATTTTATACATTGGAGAAATCAGGAAAAGAGACTATAACAGTAAGAATTCAATTTGAACTTAATTATGTGAAAAATACCAACACTATACTTTAGGGGTCGTTTGGTAGTGTATTAGCAAAACTATTACATGCATTAATTATATGTATTAGTAATCCCTTTTTTGGTGCATATTTTCGTGATATGTATTAACTTATTGTGTATTAAAGTTGTGTATTACTAATACCATAGATTTTTTGGTATTAGTAATGCAAATGATTTAATACATGTATTTATATGATTAAAGACACAATTACCCTTCAAAAGTACTTTAATATCTTTTCCACCATAATTGTGAAGAATATTTTTATACAATGTATACTACTATTAATACACCAAACCAAACAATGCATAAGAAATAATCTATACATAACTAATACACATACAATAATACTTGCATTACTAATATACTCTATTGGATATTATTTTTATATACTACCAAACGACCCCTTAAGTGGCAAAAATTGAATTTAGTAGACGCCTCAAACGTAACAAAACAACCAAAATGCATACATAAAAGTGGACAACGAACAAGATTTGGTTGCTAAGAAAGCAGAGCCATTGAGCTAAGCTAAAATGTCAATATCCTCGTTGAATACAAAAAAAAACAAGAAATCATTTGGACTAAAAAATCTATTTCTACAGAGCTCATAAAAGGGTCCAAAATGGAGAGCTAAACATGTACAAGTATACTCACAAAAGAAGGTACACACAAGATGTCAAAAGATGACGCTAGCAAAATGGTAACAACAGCAACAACTACTAGCTCAATTAGACAGCAAAAAATTATGTATCTGGGTCATATCTTCTATATCCTGCGCTATCCAATCTTGGATTGCTTTGACAAAGGCTGTTGAGATTCTGATGATGCTGAAGATTCTGGTGATGACGACTCAATGTCATGGACTGTAACTACAGCAGATAGCATTGATTGTGTGGTTGAATCGTCTAGAAATTTTCTTTTTCTAGAACATACTTGTTTGATATTCTTCTCTGTTTCTTTGTTGTCATCCCCTTCGCCTCTCAGGATGAAGTCTCGTAGACGTTTAACATCAGACAGCTTAACAGGCTTCAGGAGAAATTCTTCAGCACCTTCCTCCAAACATCTATTTAATTAGATGACCAACTTTAAATTCAGTAACTGTGAGATATATACCATAACCAACAGTTTCTTCAACTAACAGGCAATTACATACTACTTATGAAGCAACATATGGTTACTTGAACTGTTACAGATGTAAGCTCCGCAAGAACTTTTTTCGACTTCAATTCAATAGTCCTCAATTCTAGAGAGTTTATTTAGACAAAGAGTATAATATGGCCAAATACTTTAAGAGGCAGATACAGATTAAGGAATTATAGTAAATAGGATTAGTACCAGTCTTGCACAAAAATACAAATGCAAAATGTTCTTCATATGTACGTATCGATCGAGTTTAGTTGAATTTGCCTTAAATCTGCCCTATGGCGAAATGATTCTACAATGTATTGAAGTGTAACATTTTGTTTGTCTATTCGATGCAGGATCATATGTATTAAACAAAACCAGAGCAAATGAAGAAAACAATTGATGGTCAAAAGAGGATATACCTATCAATGCGAGGTAAAATCTTTTCAGATGACATAATAACAACGGGGATCTTGCTCAACACCGATGATTCCTGTTCAACAAGAATGAAAGCGTCATTCACAGTTAATGATAACTAGTTACAACAAAAAATATAGACCGAAAGAGACATGAATTGAAACAAAACAAATCCCATCCTCAACTAACCTTGATTTTTTTGAGAAGTTCATAGCCAGTCATCCCAGGCATAGAATAGTCCGTCAGTATCAGATTTACCTTCAAACCCTGAAACCAAAAAAATTCCCAAATTCCTTTACAACATACTCTCACAAAAGTAAAACCATCAAATCAAGAAAAGGAATTTCTAGCTAATCAAGATTTGATGAACACATTTTCAACTCATGCAATATAAATAGAAAACACAATCTGTCTATTTCCATAAAAACTTTAACATGCAACCAAAAGGTCTCATTTTTAACAAGTTAAACAGAAAAGTGCTTATACTGACATCGATCCCCATAGAACTCTTCTCTCCATCCAACCCCAAATACTGCAAAGCCCTCGTTCCACTTTCCACTGCCGTAACTGCAAAAGCAAAAAACAACCCCATTAACAGACATTTCAACAAATATCTAGTAAACAGAAAAAACAGAGTCTATTTCAACTGACAGAAAACAAGAAAAAAGAAGCAACCTTTACAGCAAGAAATCTTCAACAATCGCTCAATAACTTTCCGATCAACATGACTATCATCAACAGCCAGAACATGCAACTCTTGTGCCATTTCCATCACTTGTATTACCAAAAATGGGTCTTTTATATCTCTGTTTCCAAATGGTGCTCTGTATTTCTGTTTCAAATAAATAGTATAGAAGTAAAGCGGAATATATATAAAAGGGAATAAAGGAGATTTCAACTAGTTGTGTTGGGTCATGTGGGGGAGATAGATAGTAAAGGAAGAAATCTACTTTAGAGACTGAAGAAGAGATACTGAAAGATCTTAGAAAATCTACACCGCATTATCCCACTTGTCCCCTATGTATCTGACGCTATTATTATTATTAACTTCGATCGATAGGTGGGGCTGTTTTGCTTTTTACTCCAAACAAAACATACTGTTTACTGTTCACCTTCTCTCTAAAGTGCTCTTCGTTAGTTCGTGTGATACATTTTTCTTTTTAATTTTTTTCGACCAAACTTTATCTGTGACAATGCAAGTAAATGTTGTTAATATGTATTAAATAATATTCCTAAAACCAATAAAGAAAATATTATCTACTATTCCCTCCGTTCCTTTTTACTTGTCCATATTTCCTTTTTTAGATGTCCCTATTTACTTGTCCATTTTGACAAATCAAGAAAGGACAACAAATTTTTTCCTATTATACCCTTATTTACACTTCTTGAAAATTGTAAAAGTGTATGTTGTTTCCCTCCAATTTATTTTACTTTAATTCAAATAAGTGGTTGTAATTTTGAAGTGAAAAGTTGTCATAAGGGTAAAATTGTAACTTCATTGTGCTAATCATTGTTGCCTTAATCTGTGTGTCATTTCTAAAGTGGACAACTAAAAAGGGACGGAGGGAGTATAAAATAGTATTGAAAAGAAGAAAATCGAGCCTATTGAATACAATGTGTCTTTAATAAAATTATTCTCCTCATGTATTCAATATTAATAAAATATATCCTTTTAGAATAAAATGATCTTACTCACCATTTCAAAATATAATAATTATGGCAAGTTAAAATATCACATAAATTAAAACGAAAACAATATATGATTATAGAAATATTCCTAATAGCCAATGTGGGTAGTGTCGTGCTTGTTAGTGGGGCCAGGTGCCATGAACACTGTTTGTGGTCACTAACTTTGACCCCTGTGTTGTCACTTCCTTTGACCCTCTGTATATTTTCTTCTCAATAAAAGTAATACAGTAAATTTTAAGCCAGGGTAATATTTTTTTTATCTTTTACTTTGATTAATCTAAATTTCTGATCTACTGCTTAATGATGGACATGATGTGTTCCATAGTATCTAAATATGGTTCATCCAAATCTTCCTTTTAAATGGGTATATATGTATGTATATCGTTTATGAAATATTAACAAATATTTGACGGTAAATTAAATTATTGTTGTATATTAATTGAAAAGCAATATAGGAACGGAAAGAAGTTATATGAGTTCACATTATTAGTAGTGTTAGATAAAAGAAAAACTATTAGATTGTGATTTTAAATTGGAACACGTTGTAATTATTCAAAGTTGAGGGGGAAAACAAAGAATATAATTTTACTTTATGAATGTTAATTTGGTCCACAAGATAATTTAAATATCTTTTAATCTCCAATTTAATACAATAAATGGCCACTAACGGTATAATGTTAAGAAAATTATGAATTTTGTATATATTTCAACTTCTTATTTGGGAACTTCAGAAATAATAAGAAACAAGTGAAGGATAAATGTACGTAAATACTTAACTATCGAATACTATATTAAATGATACTGTATTTTTTCTATTGAAAAAAAATAGTTGAGTCAAATGTGATTACCCTTAATTTTAATTAATTAATTCTACAAATTGGAAGAAGGGTTGGAATTTGGAAAGGTGAAAGGGTGTGTAATAATGCATGAAACGGCAAGAAACTGGTGGACTAAAGGACAAACGTATATAAAACCTAACGTTTGCATTAAAGGACATTAATTAAATTATATAAGTAGATTGACGTTATTTTATATTAATATATGCTATATTATCAATGAATCATGTTTAGTGATAAATATGCATATAAAAGACACATAATTTTCTCTTTTATTTGATCATAAATTTTGAGGTTAAAATTTCAAATTTCAAATTTTTGAAATCATCATTTTTAAAATATAAATATCGAATTATCAAAATCTCATTCAAAATTTACGACAGAGCTAAAATATCATGTGCATGTCAAAATTTTGGCCAACTATATTGTCTCCCACTTGTATGGTTTGTTGTTTAGGTGTTTTCCTATAGGATATTGGTCAATTTGCTTTATTAACATGTTTTGAAAATTTATACGGCATACAGTGATAAAATTTAACAATGAATTTAATGATTATTTAACAAACACAACCCACCAAATCAAAGAAAAGATACTCAGATTTTGTCAAAGCTCCTATACACTTAAAAAAATATTAATTCTACTATTGGAGAATTATTAACAATTCGAAGTTTGAACCTACCACTTGGCGTTCATTGTGCTCTAATGAATCATTAAAAAAATATTATGCATTTTTTGCCATGGGGAAGATGACAAACACAATCGAATCAACGATTCTTTTTTTGGACAGGAAGATAAAATCCTAAATAGTTTAATTTAATTTAAAATGCACTTCATCCGTCTCATTTTATATGTCATCCCTTTCTATAAATAGTTGGACCATAATACTTGTCATTTTATAAAGTTTATGCATAAATTACCATATTTTACCTATTATACTCTTGATAGATTAGTTAATTAATCTTGAAAATGTACTCATCATTTATTATAAAGTTGACTTAAGAAAACATTAAATAAGGATAGAAGGATAAAGCTATATCATTTTTTAATGCAAGTGCAAAGTAAATATGACATAAAAAATGAGACGGAGGGAGCAGCAAAATAAGAAGTTAGCTAACCTATACAAACATGGGGAAAAAATCACATTGATAGTATAGTCCTCAAAAATTGACTCTACTTCACGTGAATCTAAATCTAATCAGACTTTAAATATTCTGCTCGGTCAATATACAATTATTTTAGTAGACTTTGTTAGAAAATTAAATGTAGTTTTTAGAAAGAGGGGATATATGAGTACGGTATTTATAAGAAAATCTTAATAGCTCAGTAAACTTTTACCTCATTGACGAGGATATAATTTTTCGGAAAATATAAATGGCAAGACACCAATTTGTCACGAAATGGCACGAGGAACAAAAATGTTGTTTATTTCGAAATTTGTGTGAGAAGTTGAGGGTGATTGGGTAATTTCAATAATTTCTTGTACCCAAATTACCCTCAAAAGTAAAATTACTATTCTTAAAAAGTAAAACCACTTTTCAGTCACACTTTCCAAGAGGTGGCTGACCATTGGCTCTACTTATATTGTGCCACGTGGAAAATGTTGGGTCCCATTTCAGAAAATGATTTTCTCGCTCTTCTTGAACGTTTTTTTTCCTCTTTCCTACTTTTTATCTACATCTTTTTCTTTGACTTTTCTTTTCAAATTAATGTTTCAAATTTCTCTACTTCCATAGTTGTATAATTTTATTCATGGAAAATATAAAAATATGAAATCCAAAAAGAAAATATTCGTTCAATTTCTAACATTTTAAATTAATTATTTATATTACTAAAAATAGTTAGATAAAATTATTTGTTAATTTACAAAATATAATTAATTACAATTTTTTTATTATAACATTTTTCTTCTTTTTGTAAGTGTAAATAAAATTTATAAATTTTAAAATTAAATGTAAATTAGTAAAGCAATCATTTTATTTATAATTTCTTACGAAATTTGTAAAAAAAAAATAGCATAAATTTTGATACTAATTTCAAAAAGAAATATAACGGAAAGAGCATCAATGTTTTTGATAAATAATTACATAAGTTTTTATACTAATTTCATGAACTTAAAAAAACGGAAAGCATCCATAAATATCTATACAAATACATATTCTTTCCGTCAATTTATACGATATTTTATTCTTGATATTCAAGCTAGGTGAAATTTTTCATCACTTTAACCTTTTTTATTTTTCTTGCTATTTAATTTTTGTGGACTTCTCAAAAATATACGATACTATAAAATTTTTATAAGGTACATCTATATAGGATCCTTAAAAAAAAAACAAATTACACATTATCTAAGAATTTAATCATTTTAAAGAAATATGATAAATTATTTTCAATGATTTTATTATTTAACAACGATATATTAAGATGTCTTGTTAATATTTGATTTAAATAAAAATAATCAATAAATTACGAGTCATATCAACAAGAAAAAGCACTATCAACATTATCAAAATTAAACTAAAAATTAAACTACAAAGTAAATGCAATAAAATTTGATTATTATAAAGAGAAACACATGAATACTAACAAAGAGAACAATTTTTTTTTTCTGTTTTGAAGAGGGTTATACGTAAAATCATTACGGACCATTTATTAATAAAATAATAGAATATAAAAATTTATCCTAAAAAATCAATGTCTATTAGTACTTAAATAATTTTTAATTTTATATTACTTTGTGGTAAATATGATTGTAAAAGTTTATATTTGAATTGTTTCACAAAAATTAAGATTTTTCACTATTATAAGTCGAATCATTATGATGAAATAAATGTAATAGATATAGTATTATATGAGTTATGCTCTCTCACAAATACAAGTCAGTTGAATGCGATTATATAAGCATGATCAATACCGGATAATACAATTAGTTATGGTACATGTCAATTTTTGATCAATTTATCTTCGCGTATTATGGGTTATTAGAGTATATTTATTGATAATATCACATTTTAAATTTTCTAGTGATATCCATTAAACAATTGATATGAAAGAGAGTCAATAAATTTCCTTTCGTAATTATGAACGAATGATATTGCAACACAAATGGTTAAAGCTTAAACGAATAGTCTATAGGCCACGAGTTCGAATCTAGGTTATGTTCCAATTTTAGGTCTTTTAAAATAATTAGACTATTTGAAACTTTTATGATTTAAATAATTTTAAAATTCATTTTATTTGGTAAATAAGATTGTAAAAGTTTATATTTGGATTGTTTCACAAAAATTGAAGATTTTTCATTATTATAAGTCGAATCATTATGATGAAAATAAATGTAATGGATATAGTATTACATGAGTTATGCTATCTCACAAATACAAGTTATTTGAATGCGATTATATATGCATGATCAAGTTTTAATTGGGTAATACAATTAATTATGGTACATGTCAACCTTTGATCAAATTATCTTCACATTTAATAGTTATTAGACTATATTTATTGACAATATCTCATTTTAAATTTACTAGTGATATTCAATAAACAACTACTATGAAAGAGAGTATATACATTTCCTTTCGTAATTATGAATGAATGCTATTGCAGCGCAAATAGTTAAAACTTAAACAAATAGTCTATATGTCATATAAGTTTAGGTCCCCAATTTTAGGTATTTTTTAGTTTTTTTTTTTAAGTCTATAGGTCACGAGATTTTTTTAATTTTTTTTTTCAAGCCTATCGTATGCACCATCAAAATCTTCATGATTTTGGGACAACAAACTATCATCCTCATCTAAACCCAAAACATTATTCAATACGTCGTTTAATTGACTATTTGGATCCATCTTATTAAAATTATATAAATCTAACAACAAAAATAAAATAAAACTAATGAGTGAAGTAAAGAAAAAAAAATGAGTAAAGTAAGAGAGAGAGAAAATAAGAAAGAAGAAGTCAAAGAGTGGTTTTGTATTTTGGAGGGAAACCCACAAGTGGTTTTGTCACCTAAGGGTTATTTGGTCATTACGTCGTGTCTTGCCAATTCATGCCAAAAAAGTGTCTTGCCATTTAGCACTACTCATAATTTTTTTTATAAAAAAAGTGTTTATTCACAAATGGTTGACTAAAAGTCATAGTGAAAGTGTTTGACAAATAGGCGGCGTCCAAAGGGAGTAAAGGCGCCTCCAGTATTTGGACAAAGTCTATATTTGCACCCAAAATCTTCAAAAATTGATTTAACAGTCACCTCCAATCTCCTCTTTTCCCAAGAAATCTTATTTGTACTAAAATATTGCTACTATACTCCAACAAACAGATCAAATTTCAATTAATACAGTATCGTAATCCTTTTTAATTTTAGTTTAATTAGATTCTAAATTAATACAGTATCGTAATCCTTTTAAATTCTCTTCTTCACATGTTTGTATTATTTCATACTTGTGCTTTTCTGATCTTGTTTCAAATAATAACCACTTTCACTTTATCTTGTATATAACTTTATTCATAATTCATCTTTTTTAATATTTCTTCACGGTTATTTAACCATTTATCTTATGACAATTGTTAAAAAAAAGAAAATATGAATATTTATTTTCTATATTATCAACACATCTATAACTCTAACCAATTATCGAAGGATTTGAAAAGAGAAGGATATGATATGAATAAAAAAAAAAAAAAAAGAGCTCCAAGTAGCAGGGAGAGATAGGATGGGAGTGGAGTAGACTAGACAGACAGCCAAACTAAATCTTTTTGATCTTCCATCAAATCTCATAAACAGAAAAGTGACCTTTTTCCAATTAAGTAAACTTTGGATTCTATTTGTTGAGATTCGCCTGAAAATCGCGGAATCCCAAGTAAATCACCTTTGCACGTTCCGTACTCACAAAGTAATCACTTTTTACTCCTAACTAAGTACATTTTAATATTACACAAAGTTTTTTTTAATTAAATAAAATGATTAGATAAAATATTTTTTTGTTTGATGATTAATTATTTCAATTAAAATATAATAATATCAAAAGTTGAATTGTTTTTCAATTTAAAAAGGTAATTTTTTTTTCTAAATGGATTAAAAAAAAATGTGTAACGTAAATTAAAAACAAAGGTAAAAAAGGAAAAAGAACAGTATTTTCCTAGTCCTACAATTTTGCTAGGTTCTGTTGTCAGCAGGGTGATTGACATTACAAGTTAAAAGACCAATCAACATTAATGTTACTGCTTCTACGACTTTTGTTGCTATTATTCCACATAAATTGATAGCGAGTCTTCAAACTTGAAAACAAATGTGTAAGGATTAACCTGTCAAGGTTGTCATGGAATAATAGATATTTTTTTATTGAAGTTTTAGATTCAAATTCTCTTGAGTACGAAATTATTTTTGTTAGAAAGAGTCGTGGGACTTCTTGTCGCGAATTCAACTTTAATCGAACGAGATATTGATATCATGTGAAACCCAAATATAAGAATTATTCTTTCTATTACCTTTTTTAATGGGGTGAGAAAAATATTTTTCATGATACTTAGCAAATTATAGCGAGGGTTTGATAAATATCAAATTATCGAATTGAACTTTTTGATATTGTGATTTTAATATTATGATACTTGATAAGTGATATGTTTTTTTAAAAAAAAATAAAAAAAATATTATATATATAAAAAAAAATATTAATTAACAAAAATAATTTCTACTTTCTTTAAAATACGACATGTGTATGGTGTTTTTATCATACTATTGAGCCGTTTTCAGAAAATTGAGGTCATAATTCTCTATTACTCAGAGTATACGTAAGTCGGAATCAAATAAATCATAAGTATTAATTTACTATATCTCGTAAAATGTCAAAATATACTAAATTTAATTTGTATTATAATATCATATTTTTTTTAAAAAATTACAAACCAACATTTTCAATACTATACTGTATCATGTCCACCCTTATTATGTGGTGCGACCGTGTTACCAACTAACAAAATCTTTTTTGGCGCAAGAAATAGTTGTCTTAGATCTTTAATTGTCTGGAAAATGAATCATACTTTATGGTAAGATATATATTTATTATTTGGTGGTATGATCTATTTGTGAATGCTAAGCAATTTTCGAATTCAATGAATCTTTAGAACTTATTTGTGCATCTAATGTGGTTTATTTGAAAACCCTGGAGCCAAAAGAGTCATTTTGTGAAGAGGAAATATCAAAACGGACAATCCATTTGCACAGATTCAAAACAGAAAAATCGGTTGAATCCATTGACAACCATTTCTTCTGACTGCTCGACTAAACAATCGTTTGGCCATTTAATTTATTTATTTTTGGTTATGATTCATGGAAAAAAACACAACTAGCAATTTTTAAATTAGCTTGTCAGTCGTGTCAAAACCAACGACTTTCAATTTATTTATTTATTTTTGTAATTTTTGATCGTTTCGTACTGCAATGAGCAATCAGAGTTAAGAGTAGAGTTACTAGAAGGTCCATGTTTTTGTTCTTGGGCCATTATGTTTTAGGCCCGTGTCTTTGTAATGAACAGCTAGCTTGGCCCATTATGATTGTCTAAATTTCCCCCGCCTTTATCTAGTTGGTGGGTTCTAAAATTGTCCTTGTCAAGTTTTGAAACGTGGCAATTAACGATTGGGAGTTAGGCAATGATAACGTTAGATCCCCTCATCCAATCAACATCATCTTCTTAATAGTATTTTTTTTCTCCCCCAATTTCTACAACAAGATAAAGTTGTTTATTACTCCCATTATTGTACTCAGTCCTCCTCTTCAATCTTCATCTCATCGGCCTCTGTGTAATCAAACTTCTTCTTCTTGTTCCATGGCTACTAATCGCTGGCTCAGGCCCGAGGTATCTTCTATCCTTGCACTTTGTTATTTGTTTTCTAACTTTTTGAGGAATTTCTAAGCATAATGAATGATCGAGTAGGTTTATCCACTGTTTGCTGCCGTTGGAGTTGCAATCGGAATCTGTGGACTTCAATTGGTTCGTAATATGCGTATCAACCCTGAAGTCAGGTTCGATATATCATATTCCTTCAATACATCCTTATTTTCTCTAAATAAGTAGTATTTCTTTGTAGCAAGTAGTATATGTTACACTAGTTCTAGCTGGAAATACGACTAGTTTACATTTCTTTTTAATAGTGTAGACAGAAGTAGTCCAGGCCCCTTTTTGGGTACCCGATCACTTCCGCGAACTCCTTTGAATCATAGGTGGATTCTGTTTTAGATATCAAAATTTCAGAGATGGGGCTTTGAAGCAGGGTCACTTATATTGCAAAACTTTCAAGTGGAAAGTTTTTCGTGAGAAGAGATAATAGGCTTGACACGGATACTGTTGCTTATCACCCACCTTAGAATCAAGCCATTCAGCTTGACTATACCTGCCTTAATTCCCTCATTTAGGACAGGCAGATGTGGTAGCAGGTTAAGGATCTGTTAAATTACACCGAGGCTTATGAGGTATCAAGTCCCCCAGAATAATACTACGTAATTGTTTCAAGTAGTACTCCTCGTACGTAATTCTAACAGACTTGTTTCAACAACGTATTGATTGTTGAATATACACAGCAACATTCAGTTATTTACTATCTTTGCAAGAACTTACTCTTCTTTTTTCGTTCAATAAACATGGGCAGGGTAAACAAGGAGAAAAGAGCTGCTGGCATCCTGGAGAACTTTGAAGAGGGAGAAAAATATGCTGAACATGCTGTCAGAAAGTTTGCTCGTAGTAGGCCACCAGAAATTTTCCCTAACCTTAATAGGTTCTTCAGTGACCCTCAAAAGAATTAATCACCTGTAACTTGGTTAGCATAAACTTCATCATTATAATGGTGATTTGGAATGTAATGTGACTGGCACACTAATCTGTTGTGCTGGATGAATTGCAGTATCGATGTGTCCGTAAAATATGTTCCTCTGTGACGGTTTGTATTGAGACATTTGTCAAATGTTCAAATGTTGTTTTCTGAATGAAACTCAAGGTACAAACAACTACTCTAAGCAAAACGGTAACATGCAGTTTGTCCTGTATGTATCACATTGAAGGAAAAGATACCAACAATTATATAAAATACGGACATCGCGCTAGTCCTTGAAATAATCTGGAAAACAGAACAATATGTAATATGAGAAACTAAGATGCACCACTATATCTGCATTCTCTTGCTCCTAAGCTCTTCCCCAGGCATTCCAAACGAGGGAAATATCTCATACCACAGAGACGTTTCTTTGATCATGAAATCAACAAGACAACTAGATAACATTTAACGAGGATGCCAGCTTAGATTCCCAACTTTTTGGCTGTTCGACTGAACTGTCCAAGCTTCTTAGCTGTTTGTTCAGTTGGTGCCTCCAAATTCATACACAGGTTTGTAAAGGAAAAAAGAAACTTATCAGGGTGGAAGATGCTCAACATCCATTTCATATCTTATTCCTCTAAGTAGACTCTTTGCTGTTTCCTTTTCCTGCATTAATCACCAAACAATATGAGGGAAACTGCTGAAAGAGTTGTTTTCGAGAATGATTAAGAGAACATATTGTAACTTTCCATAGAGAAATTGACTCTTTAAGTATTTAATAAGAGGAGGTAAAACTTACTGGGCCAGAATAATCTAGAAGGCGGGTGCAATAAACCTCTGCATCTTCAAATCTCTTTTGAGCTTTATAATATCTTGCAAGAAACATTAAAGCTTCAACTAGGTTAGGACCTTCCCGTTCTTCAGCTTCCATAATCTCCAAATCTTTCTTGTAGTAAAATGCTGCTTCTTCAGAACGACCAAGTTCAGCATGCAGTTTTGCTAGCTGGTGAAGTGCAATTGCTTCTCTGTCATTACAATTTGCAGCCCTTCTGTAACATTTTATTGCCTCCTCAAGCATATGAAGCTGTTCCGTTTCAAAACACTGGGCCATTGCAATCCATAATCGAGAATCACTCGGCTGCAAGAACACTGACTTCTTAAAATAATGAAGAGCATAAAATGGCATCCCCATCATCTCATATGCTTGTCCTAATCCATACCAGGCTCGATAATCACATGGATTTATGTCCACAGCCCGCCTATAGGCATCAACTGCTGCTGGAGTGTTTTTCATCTCTACATACTCGTGACCCATAAGTGTCCAAGCTGATAAATAATTTTTATTCAATTTAAGAGCCCTCCGAAAATACATTACAGATTTCTCATGCTGCCCCTTCAAACTGTAATAGTTCCCAATAATGCAACAAGACTCTGGCCTGTATTTATCCGTCAAAAATACCCTATGTGCAAGATAACTTAAGGCTGAAAAACATTCCTTTGCATATAGCACATTGGAATACATATCCATGTCTTCAATCCTGTAAGGATCATTTCTTAGAAGTTCTTCAAATATAACTTCTACTTGTTCAAATTCTCTAAGACTGTATTGAGCTTTAGCAATCTGGGCCTGGATGTAATTGCTAAAACTGAAAGTCCCTTGCAAATTTTCATATTTCACCAATGACTCACTGTGCATACGAAGCTCTTGGTAAGCATTGGCTAGAAAGAAGTCTTTCATCCAGTGGTTATTAAGGTTTAAACTGTTCAATGTCTCAGCTGTGGTGCACAACGACTGCAGCTCAGACCAAGCACTCCAGTTCCAGGGGTAGCTATTTACTGACTCAACAAGAACTGTCCTAGCAAGATTGTCACTGCCTTTCTGCTTAAGAACAAGACCATACAAGTAAAGGCCAAAGGAATCAATGCTTCCATTTTTTCGAAGTGCAGACAACTCCCGCTCAATAGAAACCAGTTCGTGGTTCACAACATCACTCTTGCCTAAGGGTCCCTCGAGTTCTATCATCTCCTCTTCTTTTCGCTTTTCACCGGCCTAAAGAAACAATAAAGAAGCATCGTAAGCATCTATCACCAGGCTTATTAGATACAATTTAATATTAACAAATGACATAAAGCTAGTTGACTTTATATTTGCTTTTATGGAAGTATATTTAAGATTCATTTGTTTGAGAACAAAAAGGAGCTAAAGTTTCACATATATTCTCCTTCAATGACATTTTAGAGAGAATACCAAAATTAGGAAGGTGCTTATCAGCAAAGCTACAAACTGAGAACCAAAAAGAAAAAAGATTTGATGCCTGTATATCCTTATCTCTCTGCTAATGCAGACAACAAGAACCAATCACGGCTCTCCTTTTGTCCATTGCATGTGACCAGGTATGGTTAGAGATGGAGTTCTAGGGAAAAGCCCTAAGTTAATTTATGATCTGAATCAGTTAAAGTGTGCCATAAAATTGCTCCCCTTTGCTTCGAGTCCTATGACACGGTTTGATCAGTTGGAAATTCATTCAGATGTTAGTTGATTGAAAGAAAACATTACACTAATTTCATTCCTGAATGGTACACTTAATGAGAAGGTCTGTCATTTCCTTATCAAAAAGAAAGAATAAAAAAGAGAAGGTCAATCATTCAGGAAATGAACAAAACGTAGATTATAAAATGTCATGTAAGGAGTGACATACTAATATAACTGAAAAAGATAAATTCAATGTGCTTACACTATTCTGATATGTATTCTCTTCTTTTGGTTGATGATTCATTTTTACACTTTCTTGTACATTGAAAACCCCACTATTTTAGCAACATGAGAATCTCAAAGGAGAGTAATATGGCCCATGACAAAATAGTTTACAGTGAATTATACGTCTAACTAAGCGAAAGGGAAAATATTAACAACTCCAAAGATAGGACTGACTGAAGTAAAGCTAAGGAACACCACCACCACCCACAAAATAGGTGGGGGGAAAAGAAGAGGAAAGCTCCAGCACCTCAATTTCATCCTCGAACATAAGCCAAAGGAATAAGAGAAGAAGACAAAGGAAAAGTCATATGTAAATTCCAGGTAAACATACAACAAGATAGCACCCGAAAGCTTAACAGTCACTTCTTGGAAAGACAGCACATAAAAGGGTGAAGTTTACCAATAGTTGACTGCCAGCCTAAGAACCATCTAATTATTAATAAACTTATACATAGAGAACTCATTGGGACATTGCCACCTGGAAACATGCTACATCAGTACCTGAGTTTTGATTTGAATAAACCAGGGACATCGTGACCAAAGTGTGATAGCGTCTAACCAAGAGTTCCCACATTATGAGCGCATGTGCTTAATTTAGTCCACCACATCAACACATGTAAGTGGTGCTAGATATAAAAGAGTTCCCATATCTTATTTGACAAATGGATTAAGAAGCTACCCTGAGAGATTCAAGTAGGTAATTGTAGTATAAAGGTGCTGACGAGAAACTCTATAATTAATAAGCATCTTAAAGAGAAAGAGAGTTAATACTGTTGTGTATACAAGAGACTAAGTCGGTTGGAAAAAGGCTGTAGAGATTAGTAAAAAGAAGTTACAAATTAAGGTATTGTGGGTTATATAAAGATTAGGATTGTGGAGAAGATTATAGTAGAGGTATGCCTTTAATGAAATCTATTGCATCATCTAAAAAAAGGGAAAGTACACATAAGCTGACCCGAACACCATGTCATTAAACAAGACTATCAAGCAACCAACTTTTACAATTGTTCAACAAGACACAAATCCCTTTGGTCGGAGAAACGCCATCTCCAACCAAACCCATCACTTTCTCCTAGAAGAAAAACACCATTAAAGTGAGCTTCGAGCTCTAACCATGAGCAAACAATAGAGCTCCAACGAGCTCACTGATTCACACAACCTCCGACAAACAGCCACCAAATATCTCCGACCACCACGAGATCCAGAAACCACCCACAACGCAGCCGACAAAACCCCAACCCACGCACCTCACTAGTCTGGCAAAACAGCCAGCAAACGACCCCAAGCTCCAAGGTTTGGCGAACCAGATCAAAACTCCATGAGACAGCCTCCACCATAGCTCTCTTGTGAGCTCTGAGCTCCATTTCCGGTGAGGTTTGAGTTTTCGCTTCTAATCTAATTAAAATTGATGTTGTTTTACTTTGTTTTTGCTCTTTTTGTTGCTATGTTCAGCTGCGTTTCCGATGTCAAATGTTCTAATCCTTTTAGATCTGGCCGGAGGGGCTCAAACTCCGGCCACCTTGTGTCAGATATGATTTACAGGTCGGATATCCTATTTAAACGAGGTGTATTCATTTTTTAATATAAATGCCATGTGGTAATTAAAAGGGGATGTGGCAATTCCATTTGTTATTTGAAGAAAGGGATAATGAGCTGGTTATTTCCAGCAAAGCAACTAACGTCTACAAGGGCATATATATGCGAAAAGTTGGACGGCGAGGGCACGGGTGAGCCAAACTTCAAACGGGGGTATATTTAGACATTTTCGTATAATTTAGGGGCATATTTGACCCTTATCCGTAGATTTTAAGAAATAAATCTCTTTATTTGTTTTATATTAACAGCAGAAATCACCTCAATGCATAGAGCGCTTGAGTGAGCAATGGAACTGAGATTGTTACTTAGTATTAAGTGGGAAAAAAATTGTAAGAAGAGAAGTCTCATCTCAAGTGTTGAATTCCCACGAGAGAAAGTCAACCACAATAAATATCAACTTCTTACATTTTTACAGTTTTGAGAAGATTATTTCCCTTTCGTGTTTCATAAAACAAAAAATTAACTGGTAGATTCGACACGTCTTAATGTACATGCATATTGACATCTTTAACCCTTCTGCTGATACGCAAGGAAGGTCAATTCAGAATAGAGATAGACCAGATTATACAATTAAATAAATAATAAAGCTACCTTGAAGAACACAACAAGACCAAAAGGCACAATCATTGGCAGAATACCAAAGGGAATTATATTAGTTTCTTGCTATCTCTGCACAACTTCATTATAACCCTTAAAGTTGCTCACTGAAAGCTGTGACCAATTCCTGGCTATTTAAGGACATGATAAAGCAAAATAAAGTGAAACTAATAAAGAGATATAATGAAGAGCAGACACCATTTCCCTAAAGCTATTTAGCTATGCATTTTGAATCTATCTTGGGCGCAGAGTTGATTTCTTTACCTGCCATCTTAAGTTACAAAACATAGGAGACCTTAACTGCATCTTCAAGAACAGAATACCTAGAGAACTCAGTCAAGGAAAAAGATTTCTCCTATTGATGAAAATGACGTTCTCTTGTTTGCTCAGTCATTTAATACATATGGAACGTGATCGAGCTTTTAGTGCCTTTGATAATGTAATTGAATCTTTAAATGTTGAAAGACGCAATTGAGATGCCCTAGATGGATCACACCATCTTCTCATGCACGTGGTATGAATTACTTAAGATGTATTAACTAAAAGGTGACTACTTAAACACGTTTTGATATAGCCAGCTACCAGTGCATAGTGTTATTAGTTTCATCAATGCCAATGCTCTAGTTAGAACCATCTAGAAGTATCCCTTTGCTAATAATTCATCTGCGGGTCATATATTTGGTTCCAGTCATGGACATTTAAACATGTATTGATGTACCAGATCACCTGATTCTCCAGATGTTATACTAATTCAGATTCACAAAATGATAAAGGTCATAGCTTTTGGTCTAATAACATGAATACACCCCAATGGTATTAGTAACAGCTAATCAAATACCAGGTTAATGCTTTCACTCAATAACGATAAGCATGAAAGAGGAGAAACTAAAATCAAGTACAAATTGGTAAAAAGGATGATAAAAGACAAACCAAGAAAAGGGCATAACAGCGCAAAAACACGGCTTTCTTGCCAGTCTGATCACGGAGCACATGTGTTGCCCGCCGGTACTCCCGACAATCGAAGTAGGACTTAGCGAGCAGGTAAAAATCGCTGTCAATGGCTTCGTTGTCATCCTCCGGTACAGTCGGCGTAGCCACATGTGATACTCCCGCAGCAGGGGTTGAAGTGAAAGCAGCTTCCGTGGCTGTGCGGAACCGGCGACGGATGCTAGAGCTGCCACGCTGGAATCTTGTGTGAGACGGGGTGTACTTTGCTGGGTCTTGCTCAATTCCCACTAACTGTTCTGCCGCCCTGTGCCCAATGGAAAATCCCAATTAAGATTAAAAAAAAGGGGAAATTTTTAGGGTTTATTTTGGAGAAAGAAGATATACCATTTGGAGGCTGAGTAGAGACAGCGGTCACTGAGCTGACGGACGGCGGCTCGGAGCTCGTTTCTGCAGTTTTCTTTAACACCCATTCGATGGATCTGTGTAGTAGTAAAACTTTTACATACAAGCTACTACTATTATATTGACGGCGAAGATAGGAAGGACTCGCCGGAGTTGGAACGCAAATTGGGGTAAAATGGACAAATTTAGGTCGCCGCCGGCGAGGAGGTGGTAGATGACTGCGCGGGTTAGCTTCTTTTTCAAATTTTTGTACTTGTAGCTACTGCTGCGCTGGATGAAATATGGTTTTGTACTCCATTCTTGACTGCATCAAATTATATTTCAAAATTTTGTAACTTGTTTAGAAATAAATTAAACATGTCTGTATTTTACATTTAGTAATTTTCATATTTCAATTAAACATATCAACTTATTATAAAAAATAAAATTGATTAAACACTTTTTATTCAAATTTATTAATAAAAAAATGAAGAAAAATCAAATATACCTTTGAATTTTAAAAATGGTATGAATACAACATTTGTTATATTTTAAAGTTGTATATATCATTATCTTATTATCGTACTTTTGAGCTAACAGAAAGACATATGGCATCGTCTCAATGATTTATTCTGTCTTATTTTATTTTTTATCAAAATAATATTCATTCATTGCATTTGTTGTCTTGGCCTTGAAGCTTCTAAATTTCTCTATTGATCAACAAATTAAAGGTCTTTCTCGTATCCTTCTTAATTTCCATCCAGTTTCAATCTCTCTTGAAGAAAGTATTCCTAAATTTTATGTATGTAGATCTCCAATCACTATTGAGACAAAAATAATTCAAAATATTAAGTCAATTTGATTAGAATGATAAGTAATTTAACGTCCTATCTGTGATTTTTCTATCCAGCAAGCGAAAATCTCTATCCACATCGACGTCGACTTCCAATGGCATCATTTCAACCGTCAAATCCTAGGATCCTTTTCATGCCCTTTATTGTTGGGTCTGCTACTTTTATTTCATTTTTCACTCGGTAATTCACATTCACCACCGTTAATGAAAGTGGCTCGACGGTTTTGAAGACAAGTCACCTTTATTGGAGGAGCTTAGGATTGACCTAAAGCAAATTCACCAAAAGACATTATCAATTACAAATTCATTTCGCGTTAAAGTAGGTCTTCATGATAATGTTGACCTTTCTAAGACGTTATCATCTTCATGGCGTTCGGACTTTTCCAATTACTTGTCAGAAAGCTTCATTTTGGAACCATATTAGGATGGATAGTTTGGAGAAGACAATTTAGTTCTAGATAAAAAAAAATAAAAATAGAATAAATTATTGTGTGGTCCAAAAATATAACCGTAAGGATACATACAACCTTAAAGTATAACGAAAGACATACGCATACCATTTTAAAACGTTCACAAATATATTTAGCTTTTTTTTGAAAAAGAATTACCCGTACTTTTATTCATCTATTAAGTACTATCAAAAATAGACATTCTATTTTAATTGTTCAAACTTATAAAAAAAGAAATGTATCATTAAATGATTACATAGAGTAGTAATTAAATTTAGATTTTAAAAACATAATCAATAAAATTAATTATTAAAATAAACCTCTATTTTTTTTTAAGGGAGAGTCAAGTTAACATGGTCAAATGAAATAGAAGAAGTAGTTAGGTTAATCAAATAAAATATGTCATTTCCTTTAATTATACACATTAATGTCATAGAAAATATTTGAGTTTTAAAGACGAGGCAAACTTATTGGCAATATATATGAAAAATGTGAACCTGTGTTCTCTTCTTAAAATTATGTATTTTATAGATACATATATATAATTTTATTTTTAAAATCAATATAATATTATAGTGTGACACTCATGCTACTAGAAAAAATGAAGAGGAATTTTCGCAAATTGCCATCATAATAAACTTAATCACGCTCTATAGCTATAATTTGTATATTTACGGGCTGTAGCTATAGTTTAAGCTGTCTCGTTTGTATAATTCATGGGTTTGTATAAATCGCATGTGAGTTTGTATAATTCGCGGGTACGTTTGTATAATTGAGTTATTTTTGTATAAACTCAAAATAACGAATTTATACAAACATCTGAACTTTAAACAATTATACAAATTATATTATACAAAATTACAATATACAAAAGTTATACAAATTATATTATATAAATTTTCGAATTATAAAAACTCGAAACCCCAACCCATGTAATTATCACTAAATGTTGGTCGCGAGTGGTAATTAACTAAAACTATAATTATGATAACTAATTAGCTACTCCCTCCGTCTACTTTTAATTGTCATGTTGCGCTTTTCAAAAATCAATATGACTAATTTTCAAAGTTGAATTAAATTACATTAATTCAATATTTTAAACAAAAAATTTAGATATTAAAAAACTATACGAAAAGTACAACAAATTCAAATTTTTGCATATCAATATGATGAAAAAATACATCGTAAAATGTTAGTCAAAATTATTATTATTTAATTCTAAAAAAAGAAATTATGACAATTAAAATTGAACGAAGATAATATAGTATATACTTGCTTAACTTGTAATTTTCCCAAAAATGAAATCATTGAATGTTGAGTTAATTGACTTTGAGCGACCAGAGATCAATTCTCATATTAACAAATTTAAAAAGTATTTTAAAAAATTATGATTATCTATATATTTAAAGATCCTTTACTTATATTAACAAATTTAAAAGCCTGTAAAATACAAATTATTAGCTAACACTTCTTTGTAATTAAGTTCTTAGCGCCATAGTCCGGAGAACGGTGAAATGTTGAATCTGCACCGAACCCTCATAGTACCGCTAAATCCCATTTCTCCCACCCTCAGTCACTTCGCCACTCTTCCGCCGCCGTCACAGCTACCACCGGACCCCGTCGTAATCTCCAACCTCATACTTCAATCCAGCCCAGAATCATTATCAGATACCCTTCACACCCTCACGCAATGGACACCGGACCTCGTCCAAGCTGTACTAAAGCGTCTATGGAACCACGGCCCGAAAGCTCTCCAATTTTTCAACCTCCTCGATCACCACCGTTCATATACTCACTCTGCCACAGCCTTCGATCACGCCATTGACATCGCTGCTCGGATGCGCGATTACAAGACCCAGTGGAAACTTGTGGCCCGAATGCAATCTCGGCGGCTCGGCCCGAACCCGAAGACATTCGCTATCATCACTGAGAGGTATGTCTCCGCTGGGAAAGCTGATAAAGCTGTGAATGTTTTCCTGTCTATGCATAAACATGGTTGCCCTCAAGATTTGAATTCTTTCAATGCATTTCTCGACGTGCTTTGCAAATCAAAACGGGCCGAGATGGCTCTTAAGTTGTTCAAGATGTTCAGGAGCAGGTTTAAAGCTGATACAATTAGTTATAATACACTTGCGAATGGGTTTTGTTTAGTTAAGAGGACACCCAAAGCACAAGAAATTTTGAAAGAAATGGTGGAGAGAGGTCTGAATCCAACCATAACTACATATAATATAATGCTTAATGGGTTCTTTAGAGCAGGGCAGATTAAGGAAGCTTGGGAATTCTTTTTGCAGATGAAGAAGAGGAAATGTGATATTGATGTTGTGACTTACACTACTATAGTTCACGGGTTTGGTGTTGCGGGTGAGGTTGAGAAGGCTCAAAAGTTGTTCAATGAAATGGTGGGGGCTGGTATACTTCCCTCTGTTGCAACTTATAATGCTCTGATACAAGTTATGTGTAAGAAAGATAGTGTGGAAAATGCTATTTTAATTTTCAATGAGATGTTGAGGAAAGGTTATTTGCCGAATGCCACAACTTATAATGCCATTATAAGGGGATTGTGCCATGTCAGAAAAATGGACAATGCTATGGAGTATATGGATAAGATGAACGAGGATGGGTGCGAACCAAATGTTCAGACTTATAATGTTGTCATCCGATACTATTGTGATGAAGGGGAAATTGAGAAGAGCCTGAGGGTGTTTGAGAGGATGAGTACCGGGGATTGTTTACCTAATTTGGATACATACAATATCTTGATAAGTGCAATGTTTGTGAGGAAAAAATCAGATGATTTATTAGTGGCTGGGAAATTATTGACAGAAATGGTTGACAGAGGGTTTCTTCCTCGAAAATTTACCTTCAACCGGGTCCTAAATGGTCTTTTGCTAACTGGTAATCAAGATTTTGCGAAGGAGATTTTGGGGTTGGTAAGCAAATCTGGCCGCCTCCCCTGTCATTTTAAATTGTGAGCACAACAGCATAGGTATGATACCAAACTAAGTGCCTTTTTGAAGCCTAATGAAACAGTAAATCTCTAAATCTGAGATGGGTTTGTCACATGCCATGGACGGGCATGATGAATGTGAAGAGTTTGAGATGAAAATGACTTAAAAAGCATGCCATTATCTTAATGCAGCAGCTCACGAGCATGTTTGTTGCGTCTCGTGAAATTCAATCTTGGAGTGTGGTAATATGTGGATAAGTATGATGAATGTGAAGAATTTGAGATGAAAATCTATGATGCTCGGACTTTCCAAAAATGTTGCATGTTGCTGCACCCGTGGTAGATCCTCCAAAAATGCACAACTTTGGAAGGATCTGACATGCGCCTGTCGGCATTTTTAAATAGTTCGAGATTAGTCAAAAAGCACACCATTATCTTTATACAGCAACTCACGAGCACAGAGACTTGGCATTGATAAGGGCTTGTGTTATTTAGCAGGATACTCTGACTGTGACCCATGACTTGAAGGAGGGGCATCTCAAAGTGTTCCCATTTTCACTTGTATAGGATAAATTCATTACTTCTTGTTATTGATATATCCACCACAGAGAAAGGGCAGTGACATCCAGATAAAATCACATACCTGTATACAGGTATATTTTTCCCTCCTATATTCTTGATGAAGGAAACATGGAGGTTAGAAAATAAAGTGGGGTTATACATTTACTGAATTACCCCAAGTCTTAGCAACTCCCCCGCAAATCTTATTGAACCTTTGCTGTTTTAAGTTTAAGAATATGAGTTTGTAATTTCTAAGTTGTTGAACGTCTTTGATGATGTTGTTTTTACCCCCAAAAGGGGAGACTGTTCAATAGGCAATTTAATTCTGTGTCAAGTTTTATATGTGCTCTCTTCATCTGCTTGATCCCAAAGAAACTAGTTGCTGAACATACTGGCATTTTAAATTCTTTGCGTTTTCGGACTCCTTTTCTGTGATTGCAGTCTTTGATTGAAACAACAAGGAGATATAACTCTACGCAAAGATATAAACTTTTGTGTTCATCTTTTTGTGATCATTAACTATCTTGCATCAATTCAAGTCCGGAACTTTATAATAGTCAAAATTGTTTCTATTATGATTTCATCTATTTGGAATGGCAATTTCTTTCTAATTTTCCTTAAGGTGTTGGATAAGTCAGTTCTCCGTCTTATATAAGGTTGTCGGCCTGTATTGCTGTAGGATAGATGCCTTTTAGTTTCAGCTTGTCGTGAAGTATGCAGTTTATGCATCAGTGGATTGCTGTGCTTGGATCAGAGACAGGCAGTTCCCTTCTCCTGTGATCATTACTTTCAACAACCAAAAGCTGTAGGATATATAGCGACTCATTAGAACGTTTGAATTGCCAATCTTTGGCATTTTTGTGAAACACGAAGAGCACTTAAAACTCCTGATGTTTATGCAATGTGTGTAGGATAGATGAGATCTATTTTCCCATCCAACCTCAACTAATGCTTCAGGCTTCAGCATCATTATAAAAGACTAGAAACGCTACATGATTACATACTCAAAGCTAACAGGTTCTCCTAATATATTAGCTCCCCCACTACATTTACTACAGCCCTTACAAACATGATATAAGAGAATGCAGATTAATAGATTTTTGATCTAATTTTATTCAGTTCTATTTGGAGTAGTTCTCTTAATCTGATACCTTTTGGCCTTATTTTGCAATTTTTTTAAGCTGAGTGTTTCTAACCAACCTGTCTGTAAAATGTAAACTTGCAGTGATGAGATAGTAGCACCATATCCTAGTAGACAATAGGCTGATGTGGTTCCTTCTTTTTCTTAAAACTGTGTACTTTACAACCAACACAAACTCATCAATTCGTAAGCTAGCAAATAGAAATCTTCTATTTACTTTATACTAAAACCCATTTTTTGATTCCGAATTTCACTTTCAATGGCACCAAAAGCAGAGAAAAAGCTAGCAGAGCAGAAACCAGCAGCAACAGAGGAGAAAGAAGCTGAAATAGCATCAGCAGGCAAGAAGCCAAAGGTAGGGAAGAAGTTTCCAAAGAAAGCAGGTGCAGCCGGTGCTGACAAGAAGACGACGAAGAAGAAGAGGGGGTAAAGAAGACTCTGCTAGAGGCCACTGGCTGGGAAATTATCGACAGAGAATTTCGTCCTCGAAGATTTACCTTTAGCCGGTTCCTAAATGGCCTCTATTAACTGGTAATCAAGATTTTGCTAGAGAAATTTAGAGACGTGGAGTTGCAAATTATGCAAATTGAGGTGCACAATTTCATTCAACGATCTCAAAAGTGTTCCCATTTTTGCTTCTACCAGATATCTCTACTTGTTATATATTGATATATACGCAAGTCGCAACACAATAAGGACAATGACATCCAACTAAAACAAAATCCGTGTATATTTGAAGTTTATAGATTTGAGTTCCACCAAAATTCATTTGATTTACTGTGTTTGTAATCAATTATTTGTACTTATTTAGTGCGTACAAGTTTCGAATCAAAGCTACCTTTGCAATTTTAAGTTCACCAATATAGCCACATCAAAAGATATCTCGTAGCAATAAGTATTCTTACTTAGCCACGGAACATTAAATTTATAGCTAATTTTTACCAATACTACTTCTAGACTTCTAACTATGCATGCAAATAAAAATAAATTTGTTTTTCTGAATATGTATGTCATCGGGCAACGCATAAATTTGTAAAATCATTAGAAAAAATGTTTAACCACAATGAACATATCTTAAAGAAGAAATGATTCTAGTTAATCATATGGTCGTTCAAAAATTTTCTTTCAAAAATATTATATTTTCTTCTAATGTATCTACAAATTGTGACCAAAATTTCATTACTTCGGCGCCCAAACAACCTTTTTAGATATTTTTCCTCAATAGTAGGCAGCTCTATTATATACTAAAAAACAAATCTAACCACGTGATTATGCATGTGTCGTCATCAGATTCCCCATTTCTCATGTTCCCCGTGAATTTCCAAATATAACCTCCTACAAGCGCGCGGACCACGGAAGCTACAGCAAGGTCAAAACCGTCAATTCAGTGTACATAGGCGCGGCCATCTAGGGAAGAAAACTCAAATTCCCGCTGTAGAATCTGAAATTCAAACTTTCAAAAACCCTCCAATGGCTTATTTCCACCCCGCCAAATTCAACAAACCCTTTCATAACGGCTCCTTCTTCTCCATTTAAGTTCTCTCTCTTCCTGCAAGAGCTTCGTATAAACACATTGTTTGAGTTTGTTTGGAGTTTCGTCGAAAGATTTTTTTTTAATCATGGCTTTAGCTTCAGATCCTTCGAAAGAATCTAGATCTACTTATTGTCGGAAACAGAAATCACTTGGTCTCTTATGTTCAAAGTGTGTGGTTTTTCTCTGCCCTTTTATGCATTTGATGTTTTGAGAATGAATCTGAACATTTGCTGATTATTTTTGTGTTTTTGTGAATTGGGTGTAGTTTTTTGAGCTTGTATGATCGGGAAGGTGTGGAAACTATTGGGCTTGACGATGCTGCTCGGAGATTGGGTACTGATATGATTTTTGATTTTTTTTTTTTTTGTTGAGGGTCTGATTTCGATTTATATTTATGAGTTTGTTTTGGATTCCTATGTAGGGGTTGAAAGACGGCGGATCTATGATATTGTGAATGTACTGGAAAGCATTGGTGTAAGATCTATTAATTGGAATATCGTAACAATTTTTGGTTTTTGAATTAAAAGATTCTATTTTTATTTTTAAATCTTATAGTTTTTTATTTTTATAAATTTAGGTTCTTGCTAGGAAGGCTAAGAATAGGTATTCATGGAAAGGGTTAGGTGCAATTCCGAGGACTTTGGAACAGTTGAAGGTAAACACAGAAGTTTAAACTTTTATATCTTGGATCTATGTGCCACTTTTTTGGCTTGCTAAATTCGGTTTATAATTGGATAGGAAGAGGGTCTTAAGGAGAATGTCAGTGGATTTGATGGATCTAGCTCTGCCAAGGTAAGTAATTGGCGATTCGCGTTCTTGAATATTGCTTGGGTTAGCCTTATGTCTAGCGAGATAACACTGTTATCTTCTTTTTGCTCCATAATCTCAGGGTTCAGATGATGATGAGGATGATAGAGATTCCAGCCTAATCACTTCGAGTCAGACTGATAAACTAAGCTCCAACTCTGGTGTCAACTCTGCAGCGCCTGTTAAATCTGGTAAATTTGCTTCCCTTTCCCCTCTTTCAAGTGGTACTTGTAAATTGCCATTCAATTATTCTGATGTAAAAAAATAGAGATACTTTGGGACTAATTTCTGAGATATTGTGCTATGTTTTAACAGAAAATAGGAGGGAAAAATCATTGGGACTGCTTACACAGAATTTTGTGAAGCTCTTCCTCTGCACCAATGTAAGTAAAAAACTTTCAAGTGTACAACTTTGTTTCTCAATTTGCTTTCAACAGACCCTAATTCTCTGTGGTGATTCTGTTCAGGTTGACATGATTTGCCTTGATGAGGCAGCAAAGATATTGCTAGGAGATGGGAGGCCTCCTGCCATGACAAGAAGTAAAAAGTCTACACCTTTTTTTCTTGCTTAAGAGTAATCTGAACTACTAATGCACAAACTGTTAGTTCTTATAATTCAACTGTGCTGCCAATCTATGCTCCTTCAAGTAATGCTGTTCCTTCTTATCTATGCAGCTAAAGTTAGGAGGCTATATGATATCGCAAATGTTTTGTCTTCGATGAGATATATTGAGAAGGTAATTATCCTCAAGTGATTATTCACCAGGAAGACAATATCTGGAAATTCAACCCTTATCTAGGTAAAGTTTTGTATAAGAAACTCTAGTCACTAATAGTGCTGCTCGCATGACTTGTAGACTCATCATCCAGATACGAGGAAACCTGCATTTAGATGGTTGGGGCTGAGAGGAAGATCAGAATATAAATCAGTTGATGCCTTTTGTGCTATTGAGTCCAAGAAGAGGGTATTTGGGACTGAGCTTACAAACACAACTATCAAGAGGAACAGAGTTGCTCTACCTATGGATGGTATTTCAGATGAAGCAACTCGAAAACAACTGCTAACTGAAGTGAAATGTGAGAACCTGGAAAATGATTTTCACATTCCTAAACAGGAGCCTGGTTTAACAGCGAGCAAAAAGAGTTACCACTTTGGTCCATTTGCTCCTCCAACCATACCTCAAGCTGAAGTTTCTGAGGCTGACAGAATGAAGCGGGTTCATGACTGGGAAAGTCTAGCCTCCAGTTACCGTCCTCAATATCACAACCAAGGTATGATGAGTTTCATTTTGCTTGAAATTTCATCCTCTCAAATTTAGTATGATTCAATTGATAATCATTCAGAGGATTATAAAAATTAGAAGGCAAACCAAATTAGAAACAAAAAGTAGTGTCCTGATCTACCCTCATTAAGAAGCTTTTATAATTTTCCTGAGCTCAACCCTTAAGTGTCATTTTTAATTGGATGCTGTGTGTCCTACCCTTTTCTTAGGAATACCACATTGAGAGTCTGTAGTTACTTCTGCAAAATTGGGTGTTTTGCTCTTTTAACTTTGACAGCAAGTAAGCTCTTGTTAATGTGATTTATCATCTACCAGGATATCGATTATTATGTTTAAATTTCTTTTTCTAGTGCACTGAAACAGGTAATTCAATCATGTTATACATCTGGTCTATTCTCAAATTGCTCTGCTGACTGGTTATTTGCTCCATATGATGATATAGACGCGTTTAGTATGTTCCTTAACCAAATCATCTTCTACATAAGATGTGAAACAAACTTTTTTAGATTGCATTTACTGTTTATTTGACACAGCTTCTTATCTATGATGACATATTATCCCAGCAGTATAGACAAATTATTCTTATATCTTTTGCTCATTCGATGTACTTGAGCTTACTAGCAAGTCTTGTTTGTTTGTTATGTTTCAGCACTGAAAGATCTTTTTGCACATTATGTGGAAGCATGGAAATCATGGTACTTGGAAGTTGCTGGGAAGAACCCAATTCAGCTGATCTCCTGATGTGTTCTTTATTGATAAGAACAGGATATTGAAGTTAACTGCCTTCACAAACTAGACATGGTCGTTGCACATTCTCGTTGCATTCAACAGTAATTTGATGTACATTTTCGATATCTTTTCAGTTAATAGTGAAGTGATTCTTGAAAGGATTGACATGCTTTATGGCAAAACATAGTTGTTATAGAGGTAATAAATTTAGGGCTATTATTGCCTCGTTAATTTGCATACCCCCAATATATCCATTTTGATGCGTTGGGTAAATTCAAAATCCAATTTGCAGGTTAATTTTGGGCTACCAACCTTTACAGTATCTGGTGAACTTATTCGAAACTCTAATCAACTCATTCATATCGACAGGCTTTATCCACAACCCCATGATCTAACCTAATTTTTGAACTGCCATCGTATTCCTTTGCCATCAGATCAACTTATTACTCAGCTCAATTTGGAGAATAGTTGCACAAATTCTTTTCAATTTGCCAATGTTTGAGTTAATCTGTCTATTGGAGTGAAGACCTGAACTGTCTATTGCCAATGCCTTTTTGAAATTGTGGTGTTTGAACCAACTTCTGCACACCTAGATTAATTCCATGGGAAACTTGCTACCTCCCACCAGAACACAGGTACCAAGTAACTCTATCTATCATGGCTAGTAAGAAATCACCTACTATTATTGTCTATTGGGAATTGAACCTGGGACTGACCTAGAGACCCAATTTTCCCAACAATTTTAATGTGCCAAACAGGAAAAGGAAAGAGAAGACAATCGTCATCTGAAATAGAAGTAGAAGGGAAATACTATGCAAATCAGCACGGAGATACTTACAAAGAGATAATGAGCAAGTAAACGCTTTCTGGCAGCACATATGTACAACCTCAGAATAGAAGTAGAAGGGAAATACTATGCAAATCAGCACGGAGATTCTTACAAAGAGATACTGAGCAAGTAAACAATTTCTCGTAATACATATGTACACCCTCAGTAATGTTATATCACATTCCAAGTGCAATATCCTACCCAAGAAAAGGTAATCAGAAGGGAAAACAGGAAAAGAAACGATCTAATTGCTAGCTTCCTATCATATGCATGCACTGGTGCATTTTTGCTAAGTTCAAAGAGATGGCAAGTCATAATGAAGATGCTGATTCTGCTAATTGTGGGACCAATCTATGAATTGTCCATACTCTTCTTCCATCAATCTCCTCCGCATAGTACCGAAATCTATTAACGACAGCACACTTAAATCATAAGTCAACAGCAATTAATATCAAGAATCATTTCAGCTCAAATTATAACAGTAAATCTGTTGAAATATAGCTTTAGTTCTACTCAGTCAAGTTGGTAGGAGATATTATAGAGAATCTTTTACTGGTAAAGGGATTGTCCCATTAACACTCGTACAAGTCTATTCTCTTTTTATACTACCGATGCTGGAGATCTGTTCTTTCAACCCTCTGGACAGAGGTTTTATAACTAGTTTTTAAAATAATACTATACAAGTAACCATTCCAATGCCATATATGAAACACCTAAAAGAGGTATGTTCAAGTGTTCTCCCATTCAGTACCCATTTTTTTGTTGTGATCTTTCTGTTGAACCCAAAATCAAATTTTAGTACAGATTCCAGATTAATTGAATTTAAACAGAGATCAATTTGGTAGATCCATAGGAATTATTGTGATGATATAATAAAAGAAAGATGGGTTTGGACATACTTGAGGTGCACTTGAGATTCCTCTCCCTGCCAAAACTCAAAAAATTCTGGAATAAGCCTGTAGCCACCCCAGTGTTTGGGTCTTGGTATTGAAGTTCTGCATGTTAGGGAAAAGGGATTGCTTTGAGGTTCACTTGAATCTAGACTAAAAAACTACTACTTTCTTTAGAGAAAGGAAAAAGAAAGTATGATTAGGTTGTAATCAACAAGTCTTGGTCAGACATATTTCGAAGAATGCATACACAAAAGTTTCGCCTTTTACATGTTCGAACAATGAGAAGCAACTGTTGAAGAATTCGATCTAAATATTGTAAATGCTAAAATGATATGCACTAATTCTAAGCATGGGACAACAATCACATAACTGATATGCATCTTAACTGTATCCCAACCAATAGAATACTTCTGCTAGGCACAGATGGAATATTGAAACCAGCAGAGCTAGTTACAGATTAGGACAAGCAAAGAAAGAATGTCCAGCAATATGTGAAATTACTTACCTGTCATGGTACTTCTCCTCGAATTCTTTGTACTGTTGATGGAGAACCTCTCGTCCATGAATCAGTGTGCTCTGAACTCGCAGAAGAGATTGGAAACTAGCTGTTGATCTACGTATACAGAAACATCAAAGTATCGGAATCTAGAAACTCTATTGCTGAAAATACTAGACAAACCTGTTTGCTAACTGTTGGTCTAATCTGGATATCTCGAGGAAGACTAGAGAAGTATTGTTCAGATTCCTCATCAGAAACCTGCTCCACAAATCCCTCCACTCTTACCTACAAATGAATTCGTAATGAAGCACATCAAGAACAATTATCTAATGGTAAATGCATTATATGTAGTCAGTGAATTATATCTCAGAGAATAAATGCAATGATGATAAAGAAAATGTCTATTTGAGGTTTTAAGGGAGTATGCACAGTAATCATGATTTCCTCTTTCTGTCTCTCTTTACATTTTAATTTTATCATAGGGAAACTGAACCTTGGATTCTAACAAGGGAACGGTAAACAACAAATTTCTGATTGTGCATAGATAGTAGTTCATAACTACATCTCTTCAGCAACTCATCTACCCAACACAATCCTGCAGATCACTCTCAAGTAATTGAATGCATATCCAGGACAGGATTTGTAAAGCTATCACTGGACATTTTCATGTATGTTAAATTGTTAATAGACACTAGATATTAATGCTCTCCCAAATTGCAGGAAGTGCTAAAGATGGAGTTGTTTTAACCTGGCATTTTATAGGACCCCAGTAAAAGAGAAGTGATGCATGAGGATTTTCAGAAATTTCACGAGCCTTTCGACTCCTATAGTTGGTGTGCCTGCAGAAACAAGAAGGATGTCATTTAATAGAATATATATAATTCAGAAATAGTTATGGAGCTCACCAGACAAAACCATCTTTGTTTACTCCTTCCAATGATACCATTCGCGATGAACTGGGAAGAAGAAATACTACAGTCAACATCAGGCAAACAATCACTGTAATATTAACTTGCAGATCATGTAAACACAGAGAAAATTGAAGCTCAAAAGACTTACGGTTTTGCATCTTTACCAACTGTTGATAGGACCATATAATGGGGTTCTTTGACACCAGCTTCCAATGCATCACCAAGCCACTTTTGAAACTGCAATCAGAATGGGGCTTGATTGCCACATTTATAAATATACTGCATTGCTTTTAAGAAAAGAAGTTTGCATACATTTCTGGATTATCTAATAAACTTGCGATAAAATTACCACAAGAGAGTCGAAGTTCTAGATATACTTTATACAACTCAACCTGATCAATAGGATTTTCCTCCACCTCAAGATTTACAGAAGCTGTAAATATCCCTTTCTGTGCTGATAAATTGGTTTCTGGAAGATTTCCAATTCGAACACACATGGAAGTGCTGGGATACGATGGAAGTTTTAACTTGAATTTGTCTATGATGGATCGTGGAACAAATCTTCCACCCAAAAAATGATGCGGGCCACAAAACATTTTGGCACACAATTTTGGAGCAGTCAAAGAGACCTACACAGTGAATGTCCAAAGTTTTCTTTAGGTATTTCCCATGATTTTCAAAGGAAAAACAGAATTATCAACGAGAAAAAGGCATGATAACAATAGAATGTGAGTACTTAACAACTCTATACCAGCATATCAGGTTCAATGCCTTCACCACAAATGTCTCCCTCTTCCACATGCCACCCAGAAGGTATGTCTACAGATATAACGACAGCTGCTATTTCATGTGTGCACTGCTGGGTTTTTATGGAGACCATCCTTCTAATGAGACTATCAAACGGTGGCCTTGGGTTCCCTGGAAAGAATTAATATGCTCAGAAACACTTCTGACACTTTGGGAGACCTAAAGTTTATCCACATAATGCCAGATTTGTGTTTTAAGGAAAGACATTCTAGCTAGCTCCAGGGCAAAATTATTTTGACTAATCTATTTGTGAAACAGCCCTAAATAAGTAGAAGGAAACGGAAAAAAAGATAGGAAGGACACAAGATCTCTAAGAAATGAAGAACCAGAAGGTCAAATTCCTCAATAACAGCAAATTACTTTTAACGCTGTATACCCACGTATATGGTGGATAATGAATGACTCAAACCAACTTATGCAAAGAATAAGACTAACAAGTTTGGCACACAGCTATAGAAGTTATGTAGCATTCAATAGCAGTCTTGGCCTTCTCAGCAAAGAGAAAAACTAATGGGAATGTCAAACAGAAACTGAGAAAGGAAGTATTACCATGGAATGAGAATCCAAAAATTGCATCCACTATAATTTTAAAGTCACTTGAAAGTTGCACGGGTAGATCTTCCACTGGCAAGAATGGAACTGACAGTGACTCAAGCTACCAAAATTCTCACATCCATTAACATCTCAAATAAACTAGAAATATTGAGGTTCAAGAATTTCATGTCATATCCTCTACCTGGGTAACCAGACCAGCAAAAGGAGGTTCAGTATTCCGCTTTGGATAACAAATGGAGGTGCTTATAACCAAAGTGATGCAAGTGTCGAGCAGCTACAAGACCATCCCCACCATTGTTACCAGGACCACATATAACAAGCACACGAGTATATTCACTTGGACTATAGACCTGGAGAGATGACATGCATTTAGTCTTGTTAATCACATGGCGAGGAACCAAATAAAGAAGTAATTCTTTAACAAACCAAGCGATTGCTTGTTTATACACTTAACATATGTTCTGCCTTTCCTGTCAACGCATCACTTATCACCGATTCCAAGTTCTCCCTAGGTTACTAGCTTTGATGTCAGTTTCTTCTTGAATTAACCCTCTCAGAATCAAATGATCTTTAATCATGGCTTCTATGAGACTAGGCATAACAACAGAGGGAGATCTAGCGTTGAAGCACTGGGTTAACATAAACCAGCCGCTTTTGTCAAGCCCCATAGAAATTCACTAAATATCTATTAAATATTTGACTGTGAACCCAATTACTATTGAATATCAACTTGGCTA